TTCCTCAACAAGTATACCCTGTACATACCTATTATTAAATTAGGTCAAGTAATCACAAATGACAATCGACAAAATGACACTTGACAATAATGTGACAATTATGTGGTTGGTAACCAGATAGATGAAAACGCGTTTACCCGTTTCCTCATCTTCTATTTAGGAAATATACTATGCGTCTTGACATACGTGGATCACGTGTATATTTAGGATAAGACTATGTTAATGTTAGCATGGGAAAATCCTAAAAAAAAATAGGACTCGAATTCTCTATCTGAGTACAGATTCATTTTCAAAACCACCTATTTCTGGATGGGTCTTCGGAATTTTCATCAGATATGTTTGTTCGAAAACGTTTATCATCTGAAGCAGAAGAGAATGAAGATCTGAACCTCATATGCTTATTATTCAATATTCTCGATTGGCTTTTGTTGGAAATACTCATTTAGTTACAACGTGTCTTCTTTAATATTCATATATCACCCTATGTGATATGTTGATTTTCTTAATGTCAAAGTGTTGACAGTGTAATACTCTGTCTATCAAGTTATTCATAAATATACATTTGCATACAGTTTTCCTGTGTAATTACTAATCTAAGTGCTTTTTTGATTAATTCAATTTTTATTCATGTTTGAAAGTGCCTCACTTATCTAAAAAATCTTAGAGCATTAAAAACTATAAGTCGGACATATAGTTATTTGACCAACTAGTATATTGTGAAAGAGGTTGTATATACTTTGTTTTGTTCAATGTATAAGACAAACTGCTAAGGGCTATAATAGTACACAGTAATAAACCTTGAAATAAAATGTCGAACGTTTTCGGCAACAAAGCCATCATCAGGAGGGCTTCTTATCCAAATTCTGCACAAAATATTACATGTACGTGATAATTTGATCACATACATGAAGATTGCCGTAACAGACATAAATGTGAACGGCAGTCTAGGTGCCCCGCCTATAACATAGGAATGACAAAAGATTCCAGTGCAAAAGCCCCAACTTTTGAAAATTCTATTCTTCTCTTGAAGAAATAGAGGAGGAAATATGAATAATAATAGTCATTCATGAATGTACACCTTAGTAGAAGTTTTGACTCAAACCATGTTTATAATGATCCTTTTATACATAAATAATGATTGACGACATAATTCGATCGAAAAATTAACTGAAATGTTTTATTTTTGGACATGAATAATAGTACGTTCTGAAAACGGACCCTCTTATGACGTAGAAACTTCATCTTGCCATAGTTAAAAGAAAATACCAAACGCCCGACGGAGACTGAGACAAATGATATCGTAATTCGTTCAACTGTGAGCTGTCTGGAATAGTCTTGTTTCAGTATTAGGGTTTTGACGTCACATCATCGCCTCGTTTTCAGAGTTCCCAAAAATCGGGGATTTCAATAATTTTTTATAAAACGTAGGGAGCTCACAGCAAGAAACGGTTTGCGGTGGTGAGCTAGTTTGGGTGAGTTCTATCGAATTATGAAATAAAATTTTTTTGTGATATAAGCCCATTGGTGCCACTCCAAAAAGATGAATGAATATTTCGAAAACGTGTTACTGGTAATTCAAAATCAAAGACTCCAAAGGAGTAGTATATTTTTTATTTCTTGGTTCAATACATGTTCAATTTGAAGTGAACGAAGTGCATCAATGTTCAATGTTACTGGTTGTTTTAGGGAAAAATCGAAGACTCTAATATCAACAAACTTATCAATTGAACTTCAAACTCCGTGTAATTATAGGAAATCTTTTTTTTATTGTCCGATAACAGTTTAATTTCAGATTATTATTTAAGACGAGTATTATTTTCACTCATTTGTTTCTTCTTCTCGTTTGTATTTCGAGCACAAATTGTTATTGCCGCTCTCCAAAGATTAGTCTCTTAGTCGAGCGGCAAACTATTACTAGGCGCTCTTACTACACGATGAGCTATTTCAATACCCTAATAATGAACAAACAGTTAATCAGATATTTTACTTGATTTTTTGGGATTTTCTCTCCTCGTTTCTGTAAAATAAAAATATGCGTATTATTTCAATATATTTGTAGTGATTTGCCTCAAGATGTCACTGCGTTTAACACATTTTTTCATCAGGGAGCCTAAAAGAAAAATCCAGTAGCTTGTCAGTGACAATTTGTTTGAAAAAATGTTTGAAGGAAGGAAATATAGATATATTGAAAAAAATATCGAATTTTTACTTATCTTTGGACATCTCGGGAACGAATCTGCTCCCGTTCTCAACTGAAAATGCAAAATATTTTTCTTTGGAAGATGTGCTCTGCTTATAGTTTGACACTTTTCAGTGTCATACTGATGTTGGCATATTAATGAGTGATTTCAGTCTACAAATAAGTTACAGGATGTTTTCATTAATTGAACTTGAATCTACTATTTTCATGTTCAGTTTTTAGTAGTGAAAACCATGTTCTATCTATATCAACTGAACAGGAAGCAATGCTATTGTCTCAGTTTGGAAGAATGCAAGCGGATTCCTTGATTTTTCTTTTTTGGTCGTTATCTTCCTTTCCTATGATTTTTGGCAGAGTGGAATAATATCGCGCGCGAAATTTGTATTTCTTTTTTTGCTGACTGACGGGCGTTGTCACGCAGAATCGATGACTGACCATTTTTTTCATGATTGATATAACAACAAATTTCCTCACAAAAATTTTGAAGTGTAGTGAATGAATTGCAATACATTTATTTTTTGCATACATTGGGACTGACTGACCAGCTCCCACAGTCAGCTGACTGGACTTTCATAACTTTCATTCATTTGCAATATACAATGTGTATGATGATTTTCAGCCTTAGTAAATTCATTGCATTACCTCGGTAGGAACGACAACTTCGATAGTATACCAGGGACACTTGTTCTCAGTTTCGCTTGACTGACCGCAGTATGTTTGTGTACAAAACAATTGTGATAAACTGTGAAAGAACTAGGCTTAGTCAATTCAGAGGATCTTTTTGGCGCTGGCTCTTAGACTATATGCTAACATCAGTATGACACTGAAAAGTGTCAAACTATAAGCAGAGCACATCTTCCATAGAAAAATATTTTGCATTTTCAGTTGAGAACGAGAGCAGATTCGTTCCTGAAATGTCCAAATATAAACAAAAATTCGATATTTTTTCAATATATCTATATTTCCTTCCTTCAAAAATCAAACAAATCGTCACTGCCAAAGTACTGGATTTTTCTTTTAGACTCCCTGATAGGAAAATTTGTTAAACGCAATGACATTTTGGGGCAAATCATCTGATTTGTCCCACTACAAATATAAATATATTGAAATAATAGGCATATTTTTATTTTATAGAAACGAGGAGAAAATCCCGAAAAATTAAGTAAAATGAATGTACCACCTCCTCGATTAACCTAGAGTCACTGGATGTTATTAGTTTGATAAGAGTTCGGACACAGAAATGACAACGGTTAGGGTTTTTGAATGTTTAGATTTATTAAGTTTCACACCTTGCATTGTGACAAGAGCACCATAGTCATCCCGCGCTTTTTCATTTAAAATTGTTTGAATTTGACAATACATTTTATAAACGTCAGAATTGAAATAAAATTTCATAATTATACATTCGAGATGAAAGCAGCTATGGAAATTACTTGCTGTGTAATAAATTGTGCCAATTCTGAAGAGAATAGATATCATTTATTCAATTTTCCGAAACAAATATCAACCATTCGCTTATGGAAGGAAGATATGAAATGGCCTGATGGGTGCAAAATCAAGTTGAAGACGAGCGAAATGTGTGAGGTACTCATTAAAATTCACTTTTCATAACAGCATCTGATAAGAATGAAACTATATTTTTGGCCCACCTTCAAACAGAAGATTTCAAAATCTGTTTGTGAGAATCTGCTGTTCCATCAATTTACAAAGCAGGCGATTTCGAGAACAAAATTCCATTATTATCATCACACAAAATACAAAACGAAATGATCATGGAAAAGAGGAAATGATCGCAAAATTACATAATGAAATTGAGAATTTGAAAACGAAACTAAGAAAAGCAAGTAAACTACAGAGTGATATATTATTGAATGGCGTTTTTGGTGCCGACAAAATTTGAAATTCAACAGTGGAAAGTGAATAGTTATTTATGTATCAAGGGAATTATTATAAGGGCCTTAATTACGCTGGGGGTTAATGTTCTGGAGATATTTTCTATATCGATCCATGTTACTTATTAGCTCCTAGGGCGCTAAGTGGAGTTGCTGATAAAATAAACTACTTTTTTCTATCAAATGTTTGATGGGTTGCTCGTAAGGGGGCAACCGAATGACGGATAGAACAATTTTAGAACAACAACAATTTTTTTATCGAAAAATGATATGTTCTCTGTATTTAAGCACTCTGTATCTACGAAAAGAAGCATTTCCGGACACAAAAGCTTATATAGACTTTATTTCTTATAATTGTCTCAGGAATAATTCACTTGAAAGTACTTATGTTGCTTCCTGTATATTGAGAATATCTACCTTTAATTTGATATAAATAACTTAATGTTTTATACTCATCACTGGAGTACAATTTCACATACAATAAGGAATTATAGCTATAAGTTTATCCATATGTGTGTGTATATTTTCTAATATTAAAATGTTGTTCCATGCATTCTTTTCATTTATATAACAGTTGTTCTGCTAGAAGTGTATCACTATCAATTGAAGTGGGTGTTTGTACCCTATTTCCATTCTCCATCTACGGCTATGATTGATATGACAGAAAATATAACCTCTAAAATCGTATCTGACAATCAGGCACTACTAGGGAAATTGAAAAGACAAGAGCAGAATATATGTCTTATTCTTTTATTCACTTAAACCATTGTATTATAGAAAATAGAAAAGGACAAAAGTTCAGCTGTGTCCGAACTCTTATCAAACTAATACCATCCAGTGACTCTAGATTAACCTACAGACAGTATTTAGTTAATCAGATGTCGATGCCACTTTCCACTATTACTCACCCTCGGACAGAGGTCCAATGAACGCACTGCGGATTCGATCTGTCATTGAATGCGGTGTTGTCAGCGTCCAACCACATCTGCAACCGAACGGGCGTGGACAATCGAACGCCGGACAAACTTTTGTACGATAGTTTCGTGCTCGTCTGGTCCCTCTTCCTCCTATAATGGGAATAAGACAAGTGATAACTTGGATTTCTTCGTCGCATATTGAACAAGACAATAAGCACATACAGGGTGAGGCATGAGGAAATGTACATACTCCTACCACGAATAGAGGCCCCTGAGGGGAATACCGAATGTCCATCAGAAAGTGTCTCCTTAACTTTTTTTTCAATATACAGGGTGAGTCAATAGTGTGGTCTCCTTCAGTATTAGCCAAACCGTCAGGTATATAAATATAATTCGAATACAACAGTTATAGAATTTTATGAGAGTTATCACCTGAAATCATTTTCATATCTATAGGATGTTCGAATTCCAAGATATCGGCTGATGATGGGTGTTTTCAAATAGGACACCCTGTATATTATTGCATTTTTAAATTTTTCCTGAAGAGCTGATTTCATCAATGTGATACATTCTACCGGAAATGATTACAGAGGTACATGTCCCTATCTCAACGTTTGATTTACTATCTACTGAAATTTAATTGGAATAGATACAGGGTGATCAAGAATATTGAATTTTGAACCACCCTGTATTTGTTCCAATTAAGTGTCAGTAGATGGTGAATCAAAAGTTGAGATAGAAATATGTAAGTCGTTTCGACCAATAATAAATAGTTTTAACACAAAAAGATAACAAAGTTGAAAAATATAGATTGTGAACAACCTATATCTCTATAAACACTTCAGCTTGGGGACTAGGTGCGATACATTGATGAAATCAGCTCTTAAGGAAGAATTTACAAATGTGATCAAAAACGTCCAGCTATAGGGATGCGATACAGATGCGTTATTAGATAGATAGATAGATCGATTTATTTCTCAATACAGTGAGTGCAAAAAAATACATTCTTTTTTTACAAATCAATGCAAGTTCCTAAGAACATTTGAGATAACGAGAGAAAAATAAATAATGTATACAAATCGGAGTTGATAATTGGCAATACTTTACAAATTTAGTGAAAGTATAATCTTTGACAGAAATTATCATTTATATGTACAGGGTGGCCAACTAAGACTCCAGAGTTCGATTTCTCTGTTGTCTTGAGAGATACAAAAAAAATTCATGGATCAAAATTGAAGTAATAACCGAGCTTCACATTCCAAAATTTCTTTGAAATATACAGGGTGTTCCGTAAGGGCACAGCACATCAAAGCTATGTTTTTTTAATCGGAACACCCTATATTTTATTTCATTTTTGAATTCTCCCTGAAGATCTGATTGCAAAGACGTATCATACTTAGGGTCTAGCAGTGAAAGTTACTGACATATAGGGTGTGCAAAATCGAGATTTTCCAAGTGCAGAATATTTTTCTGTCGAAACTGTTCATTATTCGTCAAAACGGTTTACATGTCCCTATCTCAACTTTTCACTCACTATCAATTGGTGTTCAATTGAAATTGATACAAGGTGGTCAAAAAATCTAAATTTATAATTTGTTTCAATTAAATGTCAATTGAACACCAATTGATAGTGAGTGAAAAGTTGAGATAGGGACATGTAAACCGTTTTGACGAATAATGAACAGTTTCGACAGAAAAAAATCCTGAACTTGGAAAATGTCGATTTTGCACACCCAATATGTCAGTAACATTCACTGCTAGACCCTAAGTATGATACGTCGTTGAAATCAGATTGTCAGGGAGAATTCAAAAATGAAATAAAATATAGGGTGTTCCAATGAAAAAAACATAGCTTTGATGTGCTGTGACCTTACGGAACACCCTGTGTATTTCAAAGGAATTTTGAAATGTGAAGCTCGGTTATCACTTCAATTCGAATGCAAAACTTTTTTTTTGTATCTCTCAAGACAACAGAGGTATCGAACTCTGGATTCTTAGTTGGCCACCCTGTACAGGGTGGCCAACTAAGACTGCGAGGTACTGTATCTGGGAAACTATCCATCCTAGGGACTTGCGGCAAAAAAATGTATTACCGAAACGCCCAAGAGAAAAACCTGGAAAATATTTTCAAGTTCCTCAAATGACCGATAGGGTGCGTAACTGCAATCTTGAATCTAAAAAGTGATTTGATTTGATTTTTTTGAGAAAATCAACCATTTCCGTCGGAATGTCGAAAAAATTCCTCTAGCGGCGACATGTGCAACTAACAAAACTTCAAATATTATAGCATTTATAGCCCAAGAATAGTTCTTTTCAACTAGCTCAAGTTTGTCAAAATCGGCTAAGCCGTTTGGAAGATACAGGATGTTTTTTACAGGAACTTTTGAATACCCCCCACCACTTTATTTTCAGAGGTACAGCAGAAATTGTCGAACAAAAAAGGTTCCGATTTTCATCGACATTGAAAATCAGGTATTTTTTTGTTAGGTTAATGAAGCGGAATTCACCGAAAAATCACTTTTTAGATTCAAGATTGCAGTTTCGCACCCTAGCGGTCATTTGAGAAACTTGAAAATATTTTCCAGGATTTTCTCTTGGGCGTTTTAGTAATACAATTTCTGCCGCAAGTAACTACGATGGATAGTTTCCCAGATACAGTACCTCGCATTCTTAGTTGGCCACCCTGTACAATGAATAGATGTTTCGGTATTTGCTTTTGTAAATTTAATGAAATATTTAATGAAATAGTTATTAATAGAAATGAACATTAATATTGAGGTTGAAAATACTATTGACTATTGTTTGAAAAAAATTCTTCTAGGTTATAATAAATGTTTGACAGTAAATATTGTTTGAGTGATTTCTTGAAGCGATTCAGTGAGCAAATTTCTGTGAGTGAGTTCGGTAGGTGATTTAAAATTTTGATACCCATATATAATGGTCCTTTTCTGTTAGCCTCATAGATGAACATTGGTTTCAAAATTAATCTGTTATTACGAGTATTATAGCTATGTATATCTGATAGTTTTTTGAAATTATGTTTTCTTTTAAATGCTCCGATTGTTACTCTGTAAATATAAAGGTTGGTGAGAGTAAATATCCTCAAGTTGACAAAGTGCCTGCGACATGAGTCTTGTCTATTTAAACCCAACATGGCTCGGACAGCTTTTTTTTGTAATATAAATGTGGAAATTAAGTTAACTGAGTTTCCCCAGAATTCAACTCCGTAGTTCAGAATACTATAAAAATAGGCAAAATAAACTGTTTGGGCAGCAGCGGTGCCGATATTAATTCTAATTGTGGAAATTGCATATACGGCGCTTGCCAGTTTATTGTTAATATAACATATATGTATGAGATTTCCAATCCAATTTATCATCGATGATAAAGCCCAAGAACTTTGTATGCGTCACGGGGATTATCTTACCAACGAAGTCTTAAGAAAGGTATGAGAAGGTATACACGCGTTTTATTGAATGGTGCAACAATAAAGAAATGAAAATACCGAATAAAGAAGAAGTATTTTTGGCTCATTTCCTAGAAGTGTCTGAAACCTAGAGACCAAACACCTTATGGGTCTGCTGGTTTCCGCAATAAACTTATACATAATGCGTCAAACTGTAAGTTCACAATAGCTATTACTAATAATCAGTAGATAGAGAATATATTTCTCTTGTTAGTTGTTCCTATATGAATGAATAATTATTTGAACAAATCAATCAATTTCCTACGCTTGTAGAAAAAATATTGTTCCTAACTCATGTGGAAAGTGTCTTTCCCGCACTCGACTGCTTGCCCGAACTCCGCTTCGCGTCGTTCGTGTCAACGGCAGTCACGTGCGGGGAAGAATCACTTTCCGCACTTGTTAGGAAAATTACTATTACATATACATTGATTTGTCTGCACATCTACGTCGACTGATAAGTCAGTCAGTAAATAAGAACACTCACAATCCGACGTAAATACCCGCAAATCAACCCATACTTTCTATTTCGTTGCTGAGCTAGTATCATCGCTCTCGTCATTCACAACAGCTTCAACATATTCCCGGCCGCGATTTTACTATATATACTGTACGCTAGCACATACCACGCCCACCGTTATATCTCATCTTCAAAGTACTTTACTTAGGCAAAACTCAGAGACTATTTATCCTCAACGAACTAACCTATCCCTGATTGCAATATTGTTGAGGAAGGAAAACCGAATGGAGTGTAGAAACACATTGATTAATAATATATTTCAAAAGTTAAGTACTTCAACAAAGTTGAATAAAATTAGACTCTTTATCCTAAACGCACTAACCTATTTGACTTCAAATATTTTATGAAAAAGGAAAACCAGAATGAAGTAAAAAAACATCGGTGAAAAAAAAAGTTACAAAAAAAAGTTCAAGTTCACAGCGATTCGAACCATGGACCTTCAGAATGAAAGTCGACAGCGCTAACCAGTAGACCATTTGGGTGTATGAATTTACTGCGTACAAGAGATTGACAACGAGAGAGCAGCTTCAGTCGGATTCGTGTCAAAATCATAAAAAGTGTATTCTTGCGTTGGAGCACAGTATATTTAGTGCGATGTGCTGACTCCGAGTATATCGGTAATGTTTGGAGATATGACGTATTATGGTGGGCGTGGTTTGTGCTAGCGTGCAGTATATTTAGTAAAATCGCTTCCCGGCCTAAAGGCCACAAACTTTCACACCTTACCTGTAATACCGAGCTTCGTTCTCCTGAATCTCGGGCTCGTTGGAGCTCCTCGTCTTCCAAAAGTCCTCGCCTTTACCCACAGGCAACTTCACGTCCTTGAACAGGACCGCTCTCTCGGTAGTCCCGCCTGTATCCGCCACGTATTCGGGCACCAGAACGCTGAGGGAGATCAGGGGGGAGCCCACTGTAACCTCCACCCCCCAACGCCTCACCACAGACTCGTCGTACGACCTGGGCAACAGGTAAATTATATTTTTCCACCACTAACCTGGGATGTGAGTGGTACTTGTAGCTCCTTAATGAACATATCATGCGGTGTACCGCAAGGGTCAGTCTTGGGACCAGTTTTATTTTTAATCTAAACTACTCAACACTAATTTCGTCGCACACCAAAATGTCGCTTCTGTTATAATGTGAATAACTTTTTTCAGTTTAGAACAATTCGAATTTGGTTCACACTGTTCGATAGCCCAGTCCTTCAGCTATAATCTGGTACTTCATTGAAACATGAGGGTATTCACATAAAATCTCTACATGGTGTTTTCCGACACTGTGCAAAATTTCGGAATATTCAAAAGGCTCTCAAATGGTGAAAAAAATTTTTTTCTCAACTTCGACAACAGAGGCATGAAGATGATCTCATTACCTCGAGATATTTCGCGAATCAACTTCCTATCTCTCTTATTTACAGGGTGATCTCAAAAAATCAACTTTTTGGTTTTGCAGCCATAACTTTTTTTTACGTCAACCGATTTTGGAAATCTTAGGCTCATTTCGAAGATAAAACTTCAGATGGAGATATCTGAATATCAGAATTGACTCAAGATGGCTATCAAAGATCTAGAGTTTTCTTGAAAGTGACCCAAATCTGGAACGCCCTTCGAATCTTGGTTGGGAGGAGAATTGAATAAAAATCAACTTGTTCTCGGAAAAACAATTCATTCTGGATGCGTCCATATTTTCCTCGCTCTCAGTAGTCGAGAATTGTGCGTGAGAAAACACAATTGAAACATGTTCTTGCAAAAACATCAGATCATTTCTACTCTGTAATGCATGGCCCACCGTAACCAACGTTACAAGAATCACAATGAGTGACTGACAAACCCGACCAGCTGAGACTCATCATAAATGGTGTACCAACAAGAGCAACGGATTTTGATTTTTTCAATAAAGTGATTTTTCAACAGTTGTCACGTACATAACATGCTATTTAAGATTATGGAGGAGTATTCAAGCAAACAACGTTTTTTTATTGTGAAAACGCATTTCAAAAATGGTGAAAGTTTCACGAAAACAGTTTGCCAATTACGTAAAGTTTTCAGTCGCAATAATGCGTCGAACGAATCGACAGTAATAAACAAAAAATTCGTGTCGGAGATAAGCCCTTTGAATGGATCGGACTGTCGTGTTTAGCAGATCCGCGATTTGGAGGGAAGATAACCCTTGTTCCCTCATTCGTGGAATCAGTTCCAACTGGTCGGTCGTTAGATGCGGCATCGAATTCGAAACTATCAAAATCTGTTTATGATTCGAAAACGACGTCTAACCTGACTTGTCAGTCACTTACTGTGACTCTTGTAACGTTGGTTACGGGCCATGCATTACAGAAGAGAAATGGTCTGATGTTTTTGCAAGAACATGTTTCAATTGTGTTTTCTCACGCACATTCTTGAGTACTGAGAGCGAGAAAAATATGGACGCATCCAGAATGAATTGTTTTTCCGAGAACAAGTTGATTTTCATTCAATTCTCCTCCCAACTGATATTCGGAGGGCGTTCCAGATTTGGGTCACTTTCAAGAAAACTCTAGATCTGTGATAGCCATCTTGAGTCAATTCTGATATTCAGAACTCTTCATCTGAAGTTTTATCTTCAAAATGAGTCTAAAATTTCCAAAATCGGTTGACGTGGAAAAAAGTTATGGCTGCAAAACCAAAAAGTTGATTTTTTGAGATTTGAGATCACTCTGTAAATAAGAGAGATAGGAAGTTGATTCGCGAAATATCTCGAAGTAATGAGATCATCTTCATGCCTCTGTTGTCGAAGTTGAGAAATAGTTATTTATTATACGGTTTTTTGTCTCCCTCCGCTACGCGTCGGGAGACAACACAACCTGGAGCTAAAATCTAATATTTTTCCCGTGTATAATACACTATTTTTTTCTGTGACAGAAGGAAGGACGAATCAATATTAAGAAGATATTACATTATTTCGAAATCAGAAAATTATCGACGTGATATTTCAAGTTTTTAACAGTAGGGACCCCTGCGTTTTATAGGCATCTTTATCATTCTTTTGAAGTAATCAAATATCTGATGTCACTTCTGTCAGTTCAATTCTGTGATTTGATTTAAAAAATTGCGAATTCAGTAGTTGTTTAGTAATATACGAAACCGCGAAGTCGAATGGAAGAAAAGGACTTGCAGTGCTTTCTCGGAGACGGTATTATTTACTCATTTTTCGGAACTATAGCACAACACAAGCCATTAACAGAGTATATATATGTGATATATATCCGAGAAAAAAGTACTCACTTTTTTCCCACGGGAAAAAAGTAATTTATGAAAAGTGACATTTTATAACCTGCCAACAGAGATGAAATGCCAAACTTTTTTCCCGTCACAGAAAAAACATTTTTTTTCACCATTTGAGAGCCTTTTGAATATTCCGAAATTTTGCACAGTGTCGGAAAACACCATGTAGAGATTTTATGTGAATACCCTCATGTTTCAATGAAGTACCAGATTATAGCTAAAGGACTGGGCTATCGAACAGTGTGAACCAAATTCTAATTGTTCTAAACTGAAAAAAGTTACTCACATTATATCAGGGGCGACATTTTGGTGTGCGACGAAATTAGTGTTGAGTAGTTTACATAAATTGAATATTAAACTTGGAATTGAGAGCATGGCGGAATTAGTATGGTGTGCTCGACGCATCTTCGAATACGTCACCGGGAGTAAAACAATTGCTAGCAGTCTGAGCTCACAGTTACCAGTTCGCCCGAGTCGCCGTGATCATTTTGGTGCGAGTATAGACTCGTTATGCAGAAATGACGAATTCAAAATACCTGATTAGCACACCATATATCCTTCCACCATGATTGAGAGGAAAACTTGAATTATTTGCAGATGACACGACATTGATTTATTTCTCCAAAGATTCAAATAATATTATCATGGACATGAAAAGTGATCCAAAGAAAATATCCTCTTGGTTACAAGTTCATATACTATCTCTCAATTACAACAAATCCTCATATATGTACATAGCGAAAAGAACACTGAACATTTGAAATAGAACACCATCCTTCAACAATAAACTCATCAAATATACAGATATATACAGATGTTACAAAATTTTTAGGTTTTTATATTGATGAACGACTATTGTTCCAATACCTACCTCCTATCCTTATCCTCCCTAGGAACGCACGATGTTCTTTGAACATTATAGGGATTCCCTTTCGTGCGCTCCAAGCGATAAATAAAATTGTGGAATAAACATATAGATCATTTGAAAAACAAACATAATCCCATTACAGGCATTTTATTCAAAATACGAAATTTCATTTCTACTAGATACTTGAAGAGTATTTATTTCTCTCTTATTTACTCAAAATTCCAATACCTAATATCTATATGGGGAAGTACCTATATTTTACGTTCGAGTCCACTAATGAAATTACAAAACAAAACATTGAAATGTATTTTCAATTTAAATTTTCTAGAACCAACCATGAATTTATACAAACCTAGAGATTTATTAGATCTGACATCACTATACAAACTTAAAATATGTCACTATATCCCGGTCTATGATGAAACTGAATGAATCAAGGTCTGAGTGAATTTTTTTATTTTTGTTTCATTAATTCCTCTTATGTTTAACCAAGTTATTACCTGTATTTTTGGTTATGATTTTTTTATTGTGACCCGTTTTTTCACATATGGCTTTGATAAAGGTAAGATTTTATCCTCACAGTAGCATTCTGTGTTTATTCAAATCTCCTCACAGGTACCATGATGGAGGTAGTGCCAAAACTAGTGACACAATATGTTTATTATAATTAATTTTTTTAGTATTTTTCTTAGTAAAATGAAAAGTTTTAACGAATTATATTAGCACATAATCAGAATAAAATATAACTTTGGAAATACTTGATTATTGTACTCTAGTTGACATAAAAGTTGAAACCTTTATACATTGTTTTCAACTTGGCACTAGAATAAATTCACTGAATGACGGTTTTTAATGATGAATTAGTTATGGAACGGAAAACATATATTTTTGCGGAGATAGCTAAAATACACTAATTTTCAACTAGCACTTGAGCCCGGAGGGATCATCAAGGAAAAAACTAAATAATGTGGTTTGTAGAAAATTTTGAACATAAGGTTTTTTGATGAATAGTTAGTTATCGAGTTATAACCGAGTTTTGAACTATCCCATAACTTTCACTCTAGGGGCCCTTTTGAGCACAATTAGCCTCTATTGTTATATATACAGGGTGGGCTACCAGTAACGCCTCGGTCTCTAGAAGGCTAACCACTTATCTTCTTGGAATTCTTCCTCTCTAGGAAGTTGCATGTCAACATAGGCTACCATTTAAAATTATTTCGAAACATACAGGGTGTCCCGTAGAATGGGGTGACTTGATAAGATTTTTGACACACTTCCATAGATTGCGACCTTACCATGCAACTTTCAACCAAACTAAAAATAGTCACCAACTCTTTCGACCCTAAAGAACAGAACGATACATTAAAACCGTTTCTATATAGTGTAGTTTTCGAAAAAAAAATGTCAAACGTCATATTTCAAGTCACCCCAATATGGGGTGACTTGAAATATGACTTCTTATCAACGATTATTTCAAGTAGGATGGTCTAGGTGGTGACATGAAATGAAAATTAAATAAAAAATATATAGAAATCATCAATTTCATAAAAAAACACTGTGTTTTAGAACAAATATTTTTTAGCAAAATACAAAAAAGATAAAAAACTACTCCCCAAAAACCATAAAACACTGAAGTTAAAATTTTTTCTATCGAACACCCTATATATTATTTCATCTTGAGATTCTCCCTGATGAGCTGATTTCAACGACCCATCATACTTGGGGTCTAGCAGTTATAATTACTGAAATATAGGGTGTGAAAAATCGAGATTTTCCAAGTTCAAGAATTTTTTGTGTCGAAACTATTCATAATTGGTCAAAACGGCTCACATGTCCCTATCTCAACTTTTGATTAACTATCTACTGATATTTAATTGGGACATATACCGGGTGATCAAGATTCTGAATTCTGCACCACCCTGTATTTGTTTCAATTAAATGTCAGTAGATAGTTGATCAAAAGTTGAGATAGGGACATGTGAGCCGTTTTGACCAATTATGAATGGTTTAGACACCAGAAATTCTTGAACTTGGAAAATCTCGATTTCTCACACCCTATATCTCAGTAATTATAACTGCTAGACCCCAAGTATGATGGATTGTTGAAATCAGCTCACCAGGGAGAATCTCAAAATGAAATAATATATAGGCTGTTCGATTGAAAAAAGTTCAACTTCAGTGTTTTGTGATTTTTGGGGACATCCTGTATGTTTCAAAATAATTTCAAATGGTAGCCTATGTTGACATGCAACTTCCTAGAGAGGAAGAATTCCAAGAAGATAAGTGGTTAGCCTTCTAGAGACCGAGGCGTTACTGGTGGCCCACCCTGTATAGATATACCCTGAAATCCCAACAAGTTATTAGAATATGTGTATGGCAATACTGATGAGATGTCAGTTTGTCAGTTATCACAAGGCTATGTTGTTTAATTAATGTTGTATGACTGGGCTCATGTTAATTATGAGAGAGTGATGAGTAAAAGTGTATAATGTATTCTATAATGTTTCAATGGTTCTACTTTGTTAAATAAATAAAAGTTACAAAACTGTGATTGTAAGTGGATTTACTAATGAAAAAACCGGAAATGTATTTACCTGGGCAACAGCTGGCCGGCCTGCTTATACTGGGCGTAACTAATCACAGCGCCATCTTCCTTCAGACTGTTTTTAGTTATGATCTCCCCGGTTTCGAGGGGTTTGATGCCGAGCAGCTTCAAGGGAATGAAAATCCGGGTGTTCTGATCGAACTTCGATTTGTCCAGCAAGTAGTTGTTGTATTTGGGAAAAGCGACCATCGGGCCGGGGTGGAGGTTCTTGTTTTCTTCGAGGAAGAGAGAGGTGTCTGGTAAGATGATGCTCTCGGTGGTGTAGTCGAGGTGAGTAGGGTGTAACGGCGGGGATGATTCGGATTCGAAGCCGTAGAGAGATTCGGGGGTGACGACGTCCAGGCCCATAACTGCAACGACGATATGGAAATAGTTCTTGGATTTGGTTGTCTGGCATTTGATCGAAATACATGTCGCATGGGCTTTGACATACATAAGTGTGGAGTATTTTCGGTAGAAACAAAACAATTGTCCCATAAGACACTACTGTTCGTGGCTCGAAAATACAGGGTGTTCCTTAATGGCATGCTAATATTCAAGGGAGGCATTCTTGGACCCATTTCAAGAATAAAACTTCATATGAACGTAAGTCGAAAACGTCTCAACTTTTGAGATACCTACTAAATTTGAATCAACTTGATTATGGATTTCGCGCTGTCTATACTCAATATCTCAAAAACTAATTAGGATATTGAGAACTTCAGAACAAAATCTTGAATCAGACGGTGTGAAAATTTCTTTAAATGGAAAACTCTTCATTTTATTGCATATTTCAAAAGAGTGATTTGAGCGAATATGCCTCAGTGTTCCAGGCAGAAGTACTTGCAATACTCACCTGCGTCCAAGAAAACCTAATTATGAGAGGTCGTAGACCAATCACTATATGCTCGGACAGCAAAGCTGCAATACTGGCTTAATACAATAGGATCACATCCAATTTGGTGTCCGAGTGCAGAAAAGCCTTGAAAAACCTGGCAAAATCAAGAAAAGTCAGCCTCATGTGGGTCCCGGGACATTCGGGAATACCCGGAAACGAGGAGGCAGACAGACTGGCAAAGAATGCAAAGATCGGTTCAGGACGGACCTCGGTCGGACCGGAACCAATCTTGGGAATACCAAATAGCCTGGCAATGTCCTCTATAGAGGAACAGCTGCAAAAGCAATTCCTCAAAATATGGCAGGACACACCAGGAATGAGACAATCGAAGCTCCACATAAAGGAACCTTCGAAGAGGCTCGCAAAAGAGGTTTTATTCCTAAACAGGCGAAACCTTAAAATGGTAGTGGGGCTCCTAACGGGGCACAACCACCTCAATAGGCACCTAGAGCTTATTGGGATCAAGGATGACCCCCTTTGCAGATGGTGCCTGGAAGTTGACGAAACGTCATCACATGTCCTCACTGAGTGTCCAGCACTAACGCATCAGAGGAGGGCTGTCCTTGGCAACATAATTTTGAGGCCAGAGGACGTAAAAGAGATTCAGCTGAGTAAGCTGCTGAACTTCTCCAAGCCAGTCGGCATACCCAGCTGAATGTCGTAACATGTGGGCGCACAATGGGCCCGAATAAGGAGGCCCACGTGCAGGGGGTTCACCCGCCCACCAGTGCTTCGAAGAAGAAGAAGAAGAAGAAGAAGAAGAAGAAGGAGAAGAAGAAGAAGAAGAAGAAGAAGAAGAAGAAGAAGAGTGATTTTTCCTGATTTCAAACATTATACAGGGATACTGGTAATTCGATACATTCTTTTGTTGATGTGATAGGGGAGGTGGTAGGGAGTGAATTTAACCCTAATATCGATTATGCAAAAGTTGATAGTTTTTGAGATATTTTATTTTTTCTGTTCATATCCAGAGGGTAAACTTCCAGGATTTTAAAGTTAGTTTTTCGAAAGTCTGCTGTACATTTCTGCAACCTTTCAACTAGAATACATGATCAACAAAATAGTTTTATGTTTGGAATGAAAAAATTCCAGAAATAATGTAGGTAGATAAATTGTAAATACAAAATCGTATTTTTGTTCAATAATTGTGGATCTCAACAGTTTGTAGCGGTTATTTTTTTAAAAATCTCTAAGCCACATTGGTCAAAAATTTGTTGAACCCCCCTCGATGCAATAGCTATCTAACTGGGTACAAATAATAAAAAAAGTGCTTGATACGGGTTTGTTATTTTAAATGAATAGTAAAAACGTACTTGAAAAACTTCTACTATTAGTATTCACTTTTTACAAATCCTGTTCAAAATGAGACCTCTATTCCGAATACATGCTCGGCAGCGTCATCTTATTTCTGTCTTTGTTATTCTAGTTGTCAAATTATTTTGTATATACAGGGCAGCGTCGGTTATCATTTGTATGAGTTCTTCCCAGGTATTTAGTGGTGTTCCATTAACTAGCGCTTCTATATGACTCCACACATAATGATCAAGGGGGGTTAGGTCAGGGCTTCGCGCTGGCCAACCTATGCGACCTGACCTTCTAATCAAACGGTTCACAAAACGTTCATCTAAGAACTGCCGCGCGCTGGCCAACCTATGCGAGCTGACCTTCTAATCAAACGGTTCACAAAACGTTCATCTAAGAACTGCCGAACGATCAGCCGATAATGCGCTGAACAACCATTCTGTTGGAATATCGTCCGTCCTCTGATAGCGAGTGAAATATCTTCATGAAGCTCCTGTAGATCATGCCGTAGAAGATTTTTATACATTTCCCTGTTTAAATTGTCCAGGAAATGTGGTCCGATCAGAAAACTGTCAATGAGTCCCATCAACACATTAACAGAAAACTTCCGTTGAAAACTAGTTTCCCTTGTTAAACGAGGGTTTTATTCGTCCCAATAATGGAGGTTATGAAAATTTTTTTTGCTATTTGGATGCCTCGAGCAAATAAACGAAAATGAAAACTGCTGAAATAACAAATCCAATAGAGCACTTTTAGTTTCATTTGTACCCAGTTAGATAGCTAGTGCCTTAAGGAAGTTTTAACAAATTTTTGACAAATGTGGCTAAGAGATGTTTCTAAAGGTAACCGCTAGAATGTGGTTAAAATCCACAATTCACAAACAAAAATACGACTTTGTATCTACAATTCATCCATGATCTAAATCATTTCTGTGACTATGTCATTCCACATATAAGACCATGTGTTGATCATGTATTCTAGTTGAAAGTTTGAAAAAATGTAGAGCTGATTTTCACTGAACTTCCAAACCCTTGAAGTCTACGTTTTGGAGAAAAACAAAAAAATTAAATATCTCAAAAACTGATAACTTTTGCATAATGCATATTGGGGTTTAATTTACTCCCTACCACCTTCCCTATCACATCTCCAAAGAAATGTAGTGAATTACCAGTAACCCTGTATAATTTTCATACATTCCATGGAGTAATACCTACTGGGTGAATTGAAGGATTATAACTTGAGAGCATAGTGTCTTCCCGAGTGGAAAACGGGTACGATAAATTAATTAGAAACTTAGTTCTTCTTGAAATATGGAATGATAGGGCTGAAGAAACTCGATGGAGGTCGATGGCCAGTTGGTAAGCACATGATATATACCATCGAAGTACTTATACTATTACTATGAAATGATAAGGAACTGAGAGGAAAGTATAGATATACCTATCTATACGTTCAGTGGTTCATTTGAATAATTTCTGTGGCACAAAAGTTCAGAATAGGGTTAAAATTGATAAATTATAACCAATATAACATACCTTTATTTCAGATGGAACATTTTTGCATAATATACAAGAGTGGTAGGTAATAGAAGTATTGTTGAATGAATAACAGGATAATAAATACATATTAATATGAAGGAATAGTATGATGGAATCAAGATACTTCAGTTAAGATGAATAATAAAGATTTTTCAAGACATACCGAACAGGAAACCATAAAATATGACTCACTAGATTGCTGTTCGTTGTTGGTTCGAATCCGGCCTTCGGAAGATCATGTGCAATAACAATAAATGGTGCACGGGTTGATTGTTCTTGTACTTGTACAAAATCCACTATAAGCTGTAGAGGTCCCACAATTCTCAACTACGCACAAGTCACAAGTTCAGACTTGAGACACAGATCACAAATAATTCAATTTGACAAACCTTTGAAATTATGCCAAGTACGTTCGTGTACTGTCAGTTCCCGCTTTTTCCATCATTTCATTTGTGGTTATGTCTGACTGTCAGTGCTTGTCATAGTATAGTTCGCGTGCACGATGACCGACCCTGGAGGCAAAATATTGAAACACAACCTCACTCTAGTCACTCTTCTGTGAATTATTGAAACACAACCTCACTTTTTCATTTGTTTGCAGAGGAATCAAAAGTTTTTCACAATATTTTGGCATAGGAATCGTGTTTCTTGCGTTATTCATTAATTCAAGCATGCCTTTGCATTGTGCTGTTGTAAAATGCACAAAAAATGCAGCAAGACACTAGGGAATATGATTTTTCAGCTTAATAGTAATCTCACATAGTTATCATTATGAAATGTTGTCATTCCTTATTAAAATTCCTTCTGCCTTCTGCCACTCCTGCAATACGAGCTAATACTGCTAATAGATTGAAAATGTCTACAACACACACGATCGTCAGCATGTCAGACCAGTCCTCCGGATTGATTGCATGAATCCAATCTTCTTGCATTATTCTAGAAATTCCAGGTATATTTATTTCTATTAGCTCTTATTGCAGAAGAAATTCCGATGAGAAATCAGAGAAATAACCAAATTTCAAAAATGAAAACTATATGTGAGTGACTATAGTAGGTACTTACTTTTAAATCATAATGTACCATCCGGATTTCTTCATCTTCCGCTGCAGTTTTTGTGCATTTTACAACAGCACAATGTGATGGCATGAGCGAATTGATGAATAGCGGAAAAATACGATTCATATGCCAAAATAATTGTGGAAAACTATTTCAATCACTTGTAAACAAATAAGAAAAGTGACGTTGTGTTTCAATGTTTTGCCTCCAGTGTCGGTCATCTGACAGTTCTTGCACGCAACCCATATACGAGAACGTCAAAACAGCAGTGTCAAGTACATTAAGGAACTAATAGTCAGTATGCAGATTCAGTTATTCAGCCTCAAACAGTCTTAAAGTGAGTCTTGATCAGTCTTCGAACTGACTCCAATATGATGTGTCCATATCCATTCTGTTGGTGAAAAGGTTTACCAATGAGCCTCGGAAATAATAGAAAATTTAACTCATTCAACCCATGAAACAGTATTGAATATAGTCTCGAATCATCTCCAAAGTATCTTCATTCTGTTCATGAAAGTGCCACCAATGATTTTAGAAGAAGTGAAGTGTTTCAGACATGTACTTGTAACTGTAACTTTATGCGAACTGTATACAGGCTGTTCGGTCTAAACAGCACATTAGACGTATTTGTAGTTCTAAAAATGACACTGATCCGAAAATTTTAGTATAAGGATTATCGGTTGGGTTGAATCTTTTTTCGTTCTCACCGTCCTCTTTGTGGAACGATAACTCTGACATTTTGAAATATACTCGAATTATTTTTGAGCGTCAGTAAGATGAAAAATTGATATTTTTTATATTTCCATGATTCGGGAAAAACGATTCGTTAAGTTTGAGAAAACATTTGGAAAAGTTCAATGCCAAAAACTCCCTTACCCATGTTAGGCGACACAATCTCGAACGGGCTGGTATAAGTATCGTGCTGACTGGCAGACAATATCCCGATATACCGCTCCACATAACCTACAAGCTGTTCAGAGCTGTCACCTGTCAGCTCTTTGATGCGTCGCCAGTGCTCCGAGTACCTGAGACAAGACAAATCAACTATTCATTATCGATCGAAACGGCTAACACTTCCCTATATTAACTTTTGATTCAGTATCTACTGAAATTTTATTGTAAAATATACAGGGTGCTTCGAGATTCAGAATTCTGATCACCCTGTATCTGCGAGAATCTAAAAATGCAATAAAATACAGGGTGTTCCATTTGAAATAATGAAGTTGGGGTCCACTTCCGGTACAACCGGAAGTGCCACAATCTTCGAAATATTTTAGCCGGATAGCACTTATCAACAATAGTGAACTACCAAATTTTCAAATTCGGCCCACCTATGGTTTCCTATATATTGATCGATGCAGTTCCCGGAGGGACACCCTGTATATTGAAATCCAAACTGGAATAATGCATTGTAAAAATAACCCTATATCTGTTTTTCAATTGTTATTGTATTATTAAACAAACAAACAAACAAATTGTCAATACCTGTGTTTGAAGTAGTTGACAATTTTTCATATATGTGCTTCTACCGGCCAGAAAAAAGTTTGCCAAATTGATCGTCATGTAACTTTTTTAATTCTCTTCCGATTCTGGTGAAATTTCGACTAAATCGTAGATTTAGGTTTCGGAGTATCAGCCTGAACTTTAATTCTTGAAACAAGCTGATGGCATGATCATTATACAGGGAAAAACAAAAGATACTCTTTCACCCTTAATTTCTTAACGCTCTGTGACAAACGTTAGTGGCTAAACTCAGCTTCATTAAGTTTTGGATTGAAGTGTAATATCTTCTTAAGGCAATGGTTTTTGACTCATCATATTTTCTTTACGAGAAAATATACAAGTGTTTTGAGAAAGTATGGAATTTAATAATTTTTATCAAAAACAATTCTGAACCTATAAAGCATCTTTGGGATGAACTCCAGAAGCTCATTCGCCTTCGCTCGGCCTTGACATAGACTCTTCAAGAGCTACGATTCACCTTTTCAGGAGAATTTGAGGCAATTCCAAAACACTGCTTGAGAAATTCGATTCCAGCTCGAGGGAGGGCATATTCATTATGGACCACATCTAGGAGATCTGCTTTTCATTTTCTTTTTAGTAATTAAGGATTACTTTTGCTGGTGAGTGCTAAAAACGGGGCGCAAATAAGTTATACAGTGTGTCCCAAATTCGATCCTCACCATTGGGAAAGTTGTAGCAAATTTAATGTTGAATCAGAATCTATCGAGAAATACGGGCAGGCTTCAGTCATTCTTGAGTTATTTTAGAAAAACTGAAATCTTGTATTTTTGTTTTTCTCGAATATCTCGGAAACTATTGAGTGACGCCACACTCACTCACTCTTTGACATTATTGGAACACCGTAGAAAGCTCGGCGACCTTTCACTTTTCTATCGACACTTCCACGGGAAATGTTCTTCGGAAATCTCTGCTATCATCCCTTCACTAGCAATACCAGTCAGACGAACTAGACCAGCCCAGTCAGCACATCATTTCGTTGTCAACCTCGAAAGATGTTGAACAGCACTTTATTAATACTCCTTCATCCATAGAACGGCTAGGCTCTGGAATTCATTGCCTGAGGAAGTATTCCCTACAACATATAATCTCCAGAAGTTCAAAAAAAATTCCAATACCTACCTCCTATCCCTATCCTCCCTAGGAACGCACGATGTTCTTCGAACATCATAGGGATTCCCTTTCGTGCGCTCCAAGCGATAAAAAAAAACACTTTTTGGTGCTCTTTTCAATGGTTTTGCCAGTTTTCCATCGAAATGTCATATTCCTGAGATATTTTCAACAACTTCAATGTTTCTAATGAACGCCATACTGGATTTTTACAGATTTGAAATCAGCATAAAATGTTCTTTCTAGTGATGTATCACACTCGCAGTTTCATTCTATTTGGAGTACTGATTTCCAATTTTTGTTTTAATGTCCAGTAGGCTATGCGCTTAACTCTCTATAAACAATAACGATTATGTGATCTGGCACAACTTTCATAGAGTTGGCTTGGAGCTAAGTGATATTTCTGTAAACGTCAGGAGAAAATACAAGTTAATCATTTCGGGGCAAACAATGCGTTCACAAATCTCGAATAAGTTTATATGTACAATTGTTACATCAGAAATAAACGAAATGACAGAGTAACAGCTAGACTATACTTCCATTTATATCCGGAAAGACAACAACCGCATCCTTCTATTTTTCTAACATTACAAAGAAATTTACAAGAGCATGGAAGCTTCATTGCACCTTGGCCAAGGTATGGTTTGCGCTAGGATAACTACTACCATTTCAATTCGAGAGCTTAGTCGGAGAACTCTTGTGCCGAAAACAACGATTCACAGACATTTACTGAATGATAAGTACCACCTTTTCAAACTCGAGTTTTGTCACTGGTTCCATAACCAGTGTGAAAGAATCGAGAACCTTCCATTGAATATCTGCTGGACCGATGAAACGAGATTTCATAATAATAGAATTTACAATAAACATTATCATCATCACTGAGCACAAAATGATCCGCATGTCATCAGAGAATCAAAGTGGCAGAACAAATTTGGTTTCAATGTTTGGTGTGGGATATTTGATACCTTACTAGCATTTTTGTCCATAAATAACTGTTTCTCATTGTGATTTTTTTCAGGCAGTAGACTACTAGGTTCAATAATCAACGATTATAACTTGAATGGTCCACGTTATTTAGAGCTATTGAGAAATGAGATCTCGAATTCCATATACTTGATACCACTTGCTGAATATGAGTTAATGTGGTTTCCGCAAGATGGTGCCCCACGCACAATACGCGATTGGTAAGGGGAATATCTCGAAAATCAATTTGGTGGTGAATTAATTACTACTCACGGACCTGTGAGATGGCCTACAAGGTCGCCTGAATCTCTCGATTCAAGATACTGATGACCTAAGAGATAGAGTGATGGACACATTCCAGAACATCAACAGAGTTCATCTGAGAAGAGCAGCGAATCATGTTCGCTCGAGAACAATAGGGACTATTTCGAGCAGTTCAATTGATTTTCTTTAGTATTTGTATTATTCATATATTAATTTTTTTCTGCTATAATAGTACACATCCAATTCCATGCGTTAAATTATGCAAGAACACTCAAATAATAACACAACATAATGAATTATGTATGTTTTGTTGTTCCATGCGTTAAATTATGCAAGAACACTCAAATAATAACACAACATAATGAATTATGTATGTTTTGTTGTATATATCCCTATTATAAACAATAATGTTTCTTGGGGTAATAAAGACAATCAATCAATTGTCGTGGAGATGACTTCGAGTATTATTTATTACAGAATCCATAGCCTACTGGACATAAAAACAGAAATTGGAAATCAGTACCCCAAATAGTATCAAACTGTGATTGTGATACATCACTAGAAAGGAAATTTTATGCTGATTTCAAATCTGTAAAAATCCAATATGGCGTCCATAAGGAACATTGAAGTTGTAGGTGATATCTCAAAAATTTTACATTTTGGGGAAGCTGACAAAACCATTGAAAATAGCACCAAAGAGTGCTTTAAGAATGTTGAAGTAATTTTTTCATAAAATCAATGGTTTCCAAGATATTCGAGAAAAACAAAAATACAAGATTTCCTTTTTTCTCAAATAACTCAACTCAAGAATGACTAAAGCTAGCCCGGATTTCTCGATAGATTCTGATTCAACATTAAATTTGCTACAACTTTGCTAATTCAACCGTTTCTCTATCCCTCATAGTTACTGAGATCCCAATGGTGAGGATCGAATTTGGAACACACTGTATAAATATTCAGATGTTTTTTCGAGTTATTAACACTTTATAAATCAATTTTGGGAATTAAAATTCAGGTTCACATTTCGAAACGATTTGGTCCAAATTCCACAAAAATCGGATAGGAATTAAAAAAGTTACAGGGCGATCAATTAGGCTATTTTTTTTGCTGGCCGGTTTTTTTTGCAGGTGAGTGTATATCAGGATTTTTCTTCCTATTCAATGAAAAAAAATAGTATATTGTTTTATCACGATCAAAAGTGACACTTTGTTTGACATGTGAATTTTGCATTTGCGAGGTGGAGCGTCTAACGTCTGTGTTTGGCTAAATAATCGAATGAAGGCAAACAATATCGTTATCAACAAAGAACTATTGCTGGCCGTGATTATTCAAAAACAAGTTATCCATCCCGAGGATAACGAATGGAATACAGATCAAGCAAGTATGTGAATCTTGAAGGCTTTCCTGATGACCTCTACATCCTTTTTAGTTCCTAGGAGCTAGAGTTCAACTTTAGCTCCTACGAACTAAATGTGTTGCCTAGCAACATACTAATCTTTTTGTCAGTAATAGAAACGTCAATTCAAGCGCTAATTTTGGTATTAAAATGGACTTTAGTATCGGCTGCAGAAAAAAAAAAAAGTTAATTCACTTACCTCACATCCAACACTTTACTTATCGATTGCACGATATTCCCGATGTAATCTTTGTCTTGACTGTGGGTGAGATTGAGACCTCGCACTCGCAACTCGTAGTTGAACAGCTCTTTGACCAAATCGTAGGTGACCAGGACGTCGGCGCCGTAGAGGGTTTCGGTGAGGTTGGTCGCCTTGTGGAGGTCGTGGGCCAATTTGATCGACACGAAGGTGTTGAGAAGGAGGTCGCCTTTCTCGATGTACGAGAGCTGGAAATAGGGAGGATTATGAAAGTTAGAGAAGATTTTATTTTTAACCAAAAGAATACAAATTCCACAGAGGCTTCTCTGCTTGGTAGGGATAATAATACTGTATATAGAAATTTACAAATACTCAGTCAAATGGTAATATGGTAATAGTTGTGGTAGAACTCGTCATAAACATAATGCATATTATACATACTATACACTCTGGACAACACTATAGAGTTAGCAAAACATTCAACATTTAGAAGCGAAGCATTTTCTCACATAAGCGATTTACATGTTTTGAAGGTAGTTCCTCAGTTTAATTTCAAACAAGTTAGTAATAATAATAATAATAATAAACGCTATTATTGATAGACAGAAAGAACAAAACAAAAATACATTAGAGGAATAAATAAGTCTATCTATCAAATGACTTTTAATTTCAGTGGGGAGATGGTTATAAACAACAGCCCCATTGTACAATATGGATCTTTTTGATAAGTTTGAATTCATTGCAATTAGTGTGATTTTTCCATTATTTCTTGTTTCATACTTATGTATTTGACTTCTTGTGTTGAATGTTGAATTGGAGTGACGTGCTTCACTTCTCACCTGGTGAATGTACCAGGTGATTCGATAAGGGTAACCGAGAAGCTGTATCTCAGGAACTAATAATTTGCTAACAAAAGGTATGGTTCGAGAAAGGAAGGTTTGGTGAATAAAATAAAGATCCATTCATACCATTGTGGTTCCTATCGCCCTCGCTAGGAGGCGTGTTTAATAAACTATTAGTTCCTGAGATACTGTACCTCGTCACCGTTATTGAATCACCTGGTACAAACAAACCTGATAATCATATATCTCAGCTAGATTTAGAATATTATGATTTTTATAAAGATCAACTGTACTGTATCTGAAAGGAAGTGAACAAATGTTCTTGAAGGCCTTATTTTGCAATATTTCAAGAGGTTTAATACATGGTGTTTCATTGGGACAGGTAAATACTTCAACTATGCATAAATGGAATGAAAGACTCCAAGTCGGTCGACCACACTTCATATCAAAAAATATTGTTTTAAATTAGACAGTGACCGGTTTCGGCACAACGGCTATCATCAGACTAAAACGACCTGTTATGGGTCAGGAAAACAATACCACAAGTACCAATACCATAGTAATTAAATAAAATAATCAGTTTCGTGATGAGTTGGATTCAGTTCCATTCTTTGATTTGAGTTTTCTGGCTCTTCAGCCGCTTCAAAACCCCTTGAAGAACCTTATAATTTTTCATCAATACTATTTCAAATGTAACAACCTTTCCATTTTCATGACTTAGCATACGCTGAAGATGGACATTGCATATGTCCGAAACATGTTCCTAATTTGATGTTTTGAAATTAAGAAGTCGTGGAGATGACTTTGTGCTTTTCTCATTGCATATGAACCTTATCATTCCACTTTGAGCTACAATGGGCTCCTACCAACGTTTAAACATTCATATCATCTACTAGTCACTTCGTCCTGTCTATATGATGAATTGCTGAAGGGGATATAGGGATATAATAATGTATTTTGGAAATCCGTCTAAATATCTACATCACTCTTCCTCCTGCCTAAATATTCACGAACCCTGTGAATTGAGTAACTTTATGAAGAGTGAAGACAATAAGAAGTGCTTTACAACCTCGAAAAAATAGTAGTTGCATAATATCATGAATGTGTTTTTTCTGTGACGGGAAAAAAGTTTGGCATTCCATCTCTGTTGGCAGGTTATAAAATGTCACTTTTCATAAATTACTTTTTTCCCGTGGAAAAAAAGTGAGTTTTTTTCCCGGATATATATCACATATAGTATATACACTGTTGATGGCTTTTGTTGTGCTATAGTTCCGAAAAATGAGTCAATAATACCGTCTCCGAGAAAGAACTGCAAGTCCTTTTATCTTCCTTTCGACTTCGCGGTTACGTAAATTACTACCACTAAATTCGCATTTTTTTAAATCAAATCACAGAATTAGACTGACAGAAATGACATCAGATATTTGATTACTTCAAAAGAATGATAAAGATGCCTACAACGCATGTGTCCCTACTGTTAAAAACTTGAAATTTCACGTCGATAATTTTCAGATTTCAATATAATGTAATATCTTCTCAATATTGATTCGTTCTTTCTTCTGTCACAGAAAAAAATAGTGTATTATAAACGGGAAAAATATTAGATTTTAGCTCACGGTTTTTTGTCTTCCCCCGCTACGCGTCGGGAGACAACACAACCTAGAGCTAAAATCTACTACTTTTTTCCCTTGTATAATAAATAACTATTAAATTAGACGGTGGCCGGTTTCGGCACAACAACCATCATCAGAATAAAACGACCTGTTACGGATCAGGAAAACAGTACCATTGTAATTAATTAAAATAATCAGTTTCCTTATGAGTTGGATTCAGTTCCATTCTTTGAAGCGGCTGAAGAGCCAGAAAAATCTGACTCTAATATTAGAGTCCGGTCACTGTCTAATTTGAAACAATTTTTTTGATATAAAGTGTGGTCGACCGACATGGAGTCTTTTATTTCATTTATGAATACTGTGGGGCCACTTTGAGAATGGATGTTCATATTTTACTTCTGACATAGGTAAGAACAATTGACGTCATTCAAACTTTTAGGCATTCACCTAGATTTATCTCTAGATTGGAAATCACATGTGCCAGCAGTAGGTAAAAAGTGCGCAAGTAACTCGTTTGCATTGAAAAGAGCAATGTTGTAGTCAAGATGTAGTCAAAGTATACTATTTTTCGTGCATTGAATCTCATATTCGTTATGGAATCATTTTCTCGGGTAACTCTACAACATCAGACAGCATTTTTGTTCTACAAAAAAGGGCACTAAGATATATGTTCGGTCTATCTTATAGAGCATCATGCAAATCCACATTTGTAAAGAATAAAATTCTTACTCAGCCTTGTTCATACATTTTTTAGATTTGTAAAGCAAAATATGACTGACTTTGTGTATCAAAATGCTACTCATACATATCCAACACGGTATGGGCATAATTTACAATATGATATCCATACATTAGAATTGTAGAAATCAAATCCTTATTATATGGGTTCAGTCTAATATAACAAATTGAGCAATGGAATAAAAAACATGACTAGTTTGAAAAAGTTTATGTCTGCTATCAGATCAATATTGCTAGCAAATGCCTTTTATTCCTTTGAACATATGAGGATGGATGAATGGTCATTAGTTTAAGTGATAATAAAAATTGTTAAGAACATTTAAGACTTGTCCTATATCATAATTGTATGATCTTCTTGGATAAATAAAGGTATTCTATTCTATTCTAATGTGTTTAATGAAGTGATCAAAAAGGCAAAATTAAAAAAAAAACGATGATTCTACATTTAATTTCTACCTGCTGTCGCAGTTCGACGAATCTGTCGGATGTACAGTTGAACATATCCGGTTCTTGCCAGCCTCCCAGTTCGTTGTCGCAACTTCGAGACGCTTTCCCGTGCGACGATTTTGGGCAAGCTTCGACGGCTTCCGAACCGAAGACGGTTCTCGGCCACCAGATGCCGTTCGAGGCCGTTCTGGGACATCCATCATACACAACTGCAAGAAGGAATGTCGAGGTTTTATTTGCAATTTTCAAATCTAACGGGCTGTCTAACCTAAGTTTTATCAGGAGTGATGATATTCATCACCATAATAAAAGACATAACAGTGATTTGGAAACAATGAGGTTTTCTACAACATTTGGTCAAAAGTCAATATTCGTTGAGAGTTTCACTTAGTACAATGAGCTAGCTGCATTACCATATAAAATGTTCTCCAATGATGATATTCAACTTTACTAACTAGATTTAATTGAATAAATGTAAACAAATGTGTAGGAGATGGTCAAAGTCTAGCATATTTTAAAAGAGTGGCATCTTGAACATGCTTCCCTCCCATATTAAATGTTCTCCAATACTGTAGTTTACCTTAAATAAGTATGTGTTCTTTTTTAATAAGTACATCTGTTCTGTACCTTCTCATGACAATGCCGACTGGCAGTTAAATAAGTAAGTTGAATAGCATATTTCATAAAAAAAATAGATAATAATACATTATTGTTTGAAGGAAGGAAGAAATGCAGGGTGCTTCAAGATTCAGAATTCTAATCACCCTGTATCTGTTCCAATTAGAGCTATATTCCGAATTCAACTGACAGTACTGAATCTGATGATTTTTCATTCCGAAATTAAAAAATTCACTGAATGTGACAGATGCTTGTGAGCAGACATACTATTCATTCCAAATATTTCGACTCAACATTCTGCTGAAATTGCTGAGTATCAGAAGGTAGTGTGGCTTCAGTGAACTGTCATTATTTTAGAGGGGGAAGGAATGTAACATTCATTTCCGTTCTTTATAATATTATTCTCAATAACAGAAAATTACCTGTTATTGAAATAATAAACGCTGAGAATAATATCAAGTATGAAGTAGTAGAGGCAACAAACAACAAAAACAAAAATCAACTGCTGCTGACTACTGATGAAAACCATGAAAACGTGTCCCGAATTACAGCACTGTTTTTTAGATTTTATATTTCGGAACACAGATTTTCAGCAGATTCAGTGGATCTACTGACAGTACTGACCAGTTGAATTCGGAATATAGCCTAACCTAAATGTCAGTAGATAGTGAATCAACAGTTGAGATAGTTACATGTAAGCTGTTTTGATCGATAATGAATAGTTTCGACACAAAAAATCCTGAAGTTGAAAAATCTCGATTTTGAACCCCCTATATCTCTGTAATCATTCCTGCTAGACCCCAAGTGTGATATATAGATGAGTTCAGCTCTTCAGGAAGAATCTGAAAATGCAATAAAATACAGGGTGCTCTGTTTAAAATAGCGAAGTTGTTAGTTGTTTCTGATAGAGGCGGCTCGGTGGTCCAAGAGCGTGAATGCGCTGAGTTCGTATGGGGACTCCCACCGAGACATTGGTTCGAATCCTAGTTAAGCCATGGATGTTTGTGTTTGTATACTTACCTAACCCCGCACAAGTTTCGACTTATGGGGCGTTTGGTCCCAGTGTTGGGACCAACGAGGTAATGTAATTGCATAGGTAAGTAAGAAGTTGCAACACTGTATCGATGAAAATATTTCAGAGGAATAGAGAATGTTCAATTATTAAAGCATCCCAATTTTCAGAATGTTTTGTCTTATCGTTTTCCAGATACTTCTAATAGGCCATCCACCGTGGATCACCCTGTATATTTCAAGTAGTGAAACATCCTTTATTGGAAGAATATCTGCTGAAAAGCTCCCTCGAATGAAAAGAGTACACGAATAAACAGTTTTCTTTGCTCACATCACTGTAAAAAATCGAAATAATATACACAAGCAATTGAACCATTTCAAAACAATGTACGTTCATATAGTTCCACAAACAGCCACCTTGGCGCTACATTCATATATTTTCTTATGATTACTTCCACTGGATCACTTATGTTTCTACTTATCACTCATAATTTGTCGTTTCTGAGTTGACAAACTACCTTTGTAGGTGTGAATTTTATAGAGATGGCAAAGTAGTTTCTCCCTATTCTCATCTTGCATACCATCATTTCAATAAAGTGAAAAACAGTAATATTTCATCTCAACAATGATGAGTTTTCAGTCCCTTCCAAATTCAAATAACATCAATAAATCAAGCAATTTCATCATTGCATAAATCATGTTTTTTCTGTGACAGGAAAAAAGTTTCGACATTTAATCTCTGTTGACATGTTACAAAATGTCACTTTTCATGAATTAGTGAATACTTTTTTCGCGGATATATAGGTGCACTGTTGATGGCTTTTGTTAAGCCAGTTCCGAAAAATAAGCTAATAACACCGTCTCTGAGAAAGAACTGCAAGTCCTTTTAATCGTCCATTCCACTTCGCGGTTACGTAAATTACTAACAACCGACAAGTTCGCAATTTTTTAAAATCAAAATACAGAATTGAATAGACAGGTATTCGATTACTTCGAAAGGTTCCATAGCAACAATAAAGACGCTACGCATAGGGAGACAACACAACCTCCAGAACAAATCTAATACTTTTTTCCCTTGAAAAATAACTATTTTTATCTGAATGCATCTTGCTTTCCTTAAATTAGATGTGTAAGTATGAACGAAATATTTCAACTAGAGGAATTTTTGTTAACAAAGGTAATAAGAAGAATCTTGAAACGAATTCAAAGAAATTCTTTAGGATAACAAATGATCAGTTTGAAATAACGGTCACTGGCTTACAGAAAATATCGTCGATAAGGGCGATTTTCGCACATTTTCTTACAATAAACAGACACCATTAAACCTCTACCTACTAGGTTTTTATTCAGAACGACAATGATAAACCAATAGCTTCAATTATGAATGAATCACAATTCAACTGTTATTTAGTCTTAATTCGTCTAATGATATTATATTCTTAAGATTACTAAATTAGGCATCTCATTCTAATTTGGAAAGCATTCTCACTCTTACCATTAACCAAAATAGAAGCATACTACGTTTTCACGCTACACGGGTACAGTCGTATTCAAAAAAAAAGCGTACAAGTATATTCGAGAGAGAAATTAACGTCATCCTATTTGCGTTAAACGGGCTATCAGGAATGAATGTTTACCAAATATTGACAGTAAAGTAATCATTGGTTCTCAAAAACACAAAGCATTGGCTGAGCCAGTTTCACACAACTAAAACTAGGATGCCGAAATCTTCCATGTTTAATACTTGTATGCTTTTTTATTGAATACGACTGTACCAAATGAAAAAACCTGTCAACGTCCAACTTACCCTCGCACCCCTTCAAAGTCACCTCGGCATACGCGTTGGGGCAAGAGTCGCACTTCAAGCCGATCACCCCCTCCCTGCACACGCACTGTCCCGTCTCCTTATCGCACTGCGTGTGCCGCGACCCCACGTGATAGCAGTCGCAGGGCAGGCATCGCTCGGACGCCTCGGGCCGATAGTGGTTCTCTCTGCAATCGCATCTACCCGTCCTCTTATCGCAATCGGGATTGTATCCGGCCTCCAAATCGCATGAACAAGGGCCGCAAACCGGCTCCCCCCACCAACTAGACGGGCACGGGCGGTTCTCTCTGTTTTCGCAGTACTCGCCCGAGTACTCGGTGCCGTTGCAGTCGCACGTGTACCCCTTCGAGTCTGCGCGCCCAAATAACATTATCAGTTTTATTGTTAGCTACAGGAGGTTGTTACAACCTATTTTAACACGTTGAATGCCACCGTGGACAAAAAAAAATCGGTGCCTCAGGCCAAATCTTTTTTTCGCTTTTCTTTGAAGGAAAATAACCATAAATAACTCATTATGTTACTAGAAGCTATAAGAAAAACATTTGGAAATTTGAACAGAAAAAACAAAAATGGTGACACGTTGGTCTCATGCGACCACTGAGTTGAAATTTTTGCCCTTGGGCCATAGGAGAACAATGTGTCACCATGCAGATTTCACGTTTCCACAGGTCTCGTCATGTAAGTATAGGCGGATATATGCGTGGTCGCTTGCACTTTGTTTATAATATCAATTCAATTGTTGTTGCACTTTCGGCGCGAAAACATGTCTCGTTACGAGGAAGAACAACAAAAATTACAGAAGTTATTGCAAGAATGTTCTTCCGATGAAGAGGATATGAGCGATTTTGAACCCGACTGAACGTCAGATGAATTTGAACCCGAATCAGATAACGAGTCTGACTCTAACTCAATAGAATATCAACCGCGCAAAAAAGCAAGTTTCAACAAAAATGAGTGGCTCAAAAAGCAATGCCAATTTACACCGAGTGAAGCCTTCACATATACTGGAAGATGTTGGTCGAGCTGACAGAAGACGTTGTGTTATTTGTTATGCGAAGATCTCTGAACAATCTGGATCAAAGGAAGCGTCAAGAAAAACTCCCCAAAGTTCACTAGAGTGCGAAAAATATCACTGCTTGTCTTGTTTTTTGTAGCGCATGATGCAAAAAACCTTCATTTCCAGTTTCAATGTAGAGTATAGATTCATAATTATGTATTTGTATTTCTTTGTAAGAAATCGATGAATTAGTACAAGAAAAACTAAAAATATATGTTTCTAGTTAAAAAAAAAGAAATCAGATTGCTGTAGGGTGCCACATCGGTCTCGCCTATCCACGCCAAATATAGCAATTGGACCGTCAGGCCATGCTTTTGATTCAAATGCATACAATGATACCAATGCTGCTTCATACAACTAAATGTAAAGGCAATGCATATGAGTCCACATTGGTCTCACGAAGCAATTAATGCCTAGTTATGAATGAGACCACGTTGTTCTCATCTGGCACTCAACGTGTTAAAATGCCTTTTTAAAAATATTATACTTTGATAATATCATTGAAACAATTAAACAACCTTCTCAAAACATAAAGGGCCCACCTTTATAAATGCTGTCACAGCTTCTCTTAAAGCTTGTCATAAAACTAGCAATTTATTGTAGTATTCCTCAAAGCAATAATAAAACCTATCAAAACTACTTCCTTTAAAGGCTTTTAGCACGAGTTCAAACCTATATGCTTTGAAACGACAGTTCTTATGCCAACATTAAAACTTATTGGCTAAAATTAAAACCTTAGTTGCAGTAAGTATTTGTTAAGATAATATAGTCCGTATAGTCTTTTTTCAGAACTAATTATAATACAAACATGTCGAAATGGAGTGAAAACAATAGATAGTTATAAAAGAGATTAAACATGGCGGTATGACATGATAATTCCCTACTGCATCAAATAGTCCTTTTTGTGAAGATTGATGCTTTAAAATGAAAACGATGACGACTTTTTTGACGAAAACATACCAGATATGCTTCAAAAGAAGCAGCGCTCTAGAAATAATGTGTTTTTACCAGTTAGAATTGGATGTGAATTTTCATACCTTTTCAAAAAAGTTGACAAAACTGTGTGAATGTTTGCTGAATATGGGTGAGTCGTTTGGAAAATGTGGAAAAACAACATTTTCGACGGCAGTATCAATGCATCTTTTATATTTTCCGCTTGAAATTTTCATTTCCATCAATGGCCGACATCTGTTTGTAGTAAATATGGCGCAAAATATACTTAAAACCAATTTTCTTTCTCTAATGCTAGATTAAAACCTTTAGGTAATGATAATGCATTTTATGAGACGATTTCCTCCTGTTGAAGTACTTATTGCATATTCAAATCCATTCTTATGACTATTTGCTCCTGGGTATGACAACAAAGCTTCGAAAATGATAAGATTGATTTAAGAAGGTAATAAAATAATGCCTTCATAAAACTATAAAGCTTTAAGAATATCCTGGCTAGTGCTCATTGGCATTGTTGCAAAAAGTAGAAGAACGTCATCAAGATGATTAACATAACCCTACTTTTGTTATTTACAGTGTTCACTTTGTGAATTTTGTGATTGGTTTTAAGTAGGAAACATAGACAAACTACACTCAGTGCAGTTCGCCTAATATTGTGTTGATTGCTCCATTCTCTCAAATTCATGCTTAACTCGCCATCTGACATAATTTGTGCAAAACTGTTGTCAACTTTCTCGCTTCCTAGTTCCCATTCAGAAGCACGATGATCAGAAGTATTTTTCATTACGTTCTGACTCGTTGATGGTACTTCATGAACATCAGGTCCTAATGAATTCTTGCTATTTCGTGGTTTCGGGTGGGATGAATTGAAAGACGCAGTGTTTGGAATTGCTTGGGCTTGAGAATTCTGATTTACTGTTGCTCTCACGACTTGATTTTTGATTCGTAAGTAATTTTCTTTATTTTTTCGCTTGAAGTTGCCATTTCTCTTAATTCCACACTATTTATTTCCTTGTGAGTTCATTTCAACGTGACTTGTTTTTAGGCAAAAAAATACGAACATTTATATTATGGAATTTGGGTTTAACACGGTTCTAAATAAAACTTCATAAATCCTATAGATTTTATGATTGACTTTGATGAATTCATAGGTTTTAATAATTACTTTCACATAGCTAGAATAATGCCATTAGGTTTCATTATTGTCTCAGTCAAATCCCTAGCGTAAATTTGGTTTTATGATTGCTTTATGACGTATTTTCATAGGTTTAGTTCAGAACCTCTTGGTCAAATTCGACACTAATAAAACTTGAGAGTTTTAAGAGGGTTGTTAAGAGTGAATAGTTTTGATAAAGAATTTCAATTACTCTCACAGAACCGAAGTGAGCTGAATGCCAAATTGTTTTATACCATAGTTCTATCATAGTATCTCAAAACCTTTTAATAGGATTATATGGACATGAAGGCCAATATGCTTTTTCCAGGGCATTCATAAAACGGTAGAACAAATTAGACCTAGCATTTGCGCTCACATAACCTCTTTAAAGTCTCATCGAAGCTATTTAGTCCAGTAACTTTGTCGCCTGAACATATGGGGGTAGTATGCGTCAAATCCGGTAGTTCTGATTTTTTGCAGACTTGTTCATCATGTTGGCCTAATGAATGATCCAAGCTTGTGACCTCGAGCACCGAACGCAACTTTGTCAAAAATCGAAAAAACCGCGAAAAATTCGTAAGTTTTTCAAATTTTGGCGATTATAACCCTGAAGGACTAGTTTTTGAAAAAAAAAATCTATCAGGACGTTTTTAAAGCAGATCAAATTTGCTACAATATGATATGAAAACTGTCTCTGTAGACCCAATAGTTTTCGAGATTAAGCCTTTCAAAGTTTATAATTTTTTTCGAACTTCGTCACTCAAATATACTCTAGCGGGATAAAGTTTCAATTACCTCCGACGGAGTGTGCTAGTACTGTTCGTGTGAAGTCACGAATGCACGTTTGAAAACTTTTTAGGCAATCTAAACCACGGGACTTTTTAGCTGGCAAGATGGCGCCTGGTTGTAGGGCCATCACATATAATAAGTATTGGTTCTCTCTCAGGTACCTGCTACACATCCTTTGGTTTCTCATGATTGGTTCTGTTGTTAGATCCTTTCTCCTGATGGCTGCTATCCACATTTCTCTTCTTATTTTTGATAGATCTTTTATCTGTGGATAATGCACAGAGTTTTTCACAGAATCACAGTGGGAATGTGAAAAAAACTAAGCAAATATTCCCGATCTGCACGGCTTATTCACAATAAATCTAACCAAAACTGAATAAAATAATACTCTAAAAGGTTTCCAAAATCCACCAAGTCCTCGAGTGAACAAACGAGTCACTTGTTTGTTTGCCTACCAGACGTCATTTCGAAATGATTTGATATGCCATCCCAATACGTCGATCCAGATCCAGACGAACCTCAACCGGGACCTTCCAACAGGGCTAAATCAATCTAATTTTTTGATCTTTAATATTACTCCATTTTCCTAACAAATAAACTCATTATCTCTTGTTGTACTCATCTTTTTTATTTCATTATTCGTAGCTCAGCTTAAACATCATCGTTCACACTTCTCATTTTCGTTCTTATCATCTCATCATAAAAGTACAGGGCTTCGAGTGTATAATCAGGGTCAAAATACAATCAGAACGACAGGATTGCAAAAAAATGCGAAGTTCGAAAAAAATGATAAACTTTGAAAGGCTCAATCTCGGAAACTAATGAGTCTACAGAGACAGTTTTCATATCATATTGTAGCACATTTAGTCTACTTTAAAAACGTTCTTAAAGAGCTTTTTTCAAAAACTAGTCCTTTAGGGTTATAATCGCCAAAAACTAAAAAAAAAAAACGATTTTTTCGCGGTTTTTTCGATTTTTGACAAAGTTGCGTTCGGCGCTCAAGGTCACAACAGTGCCGGTTTTACCAGGGGTCTTTTGGGTGCTATAGGCACCAGGCGGCAAAATCTTTAGGGCGGCTACATGAAAATACAAATGCACATCCTTTGTCATCAGTCCATTATCTGGATATTTTGATTTTTTACGAGAAAGTTTTGATCACTACACTACCTAAACTGAAATTTATGTTAAGAAGTGAATCATCCCGAGAAAAGCACAATTACTAGAAAAAATACGGCAGAAATTTCAAACCAGAGAGAAAAATGGCGGACACAGTGTTTTATTTTAAGTTGCAGATTTAAAATTTTTCTTCGGACTTCCACCTACAAATCTTGTTCAGAATCATTTGACTTTCTGTTCGAGATAGTGTCAGCAGAGGATGGAAATTTGATCAAATTGGCAACTAAACTACAAAAAAAGTATGTTAAGGATCTGGACAAATTTGTTTCAGACGAATGTTATTCATCTGAAAAAAACTGTTCTTTCTCCTAGATACTAAAGCAGAAACTCCTATTATGGAATTAGTCCAAGTTCAACACGAGAATAATGTAATAAAATATCTTCTTTTCCCAATATGAATATTTGTTATCGAAATTTTTGAGCTAACCATTTTGTCTCAACTCAAACAAGATCTACCAAATGAAACTAATGTATAGAGCTTGTGAAGAGTATCATACATAAAGGCTTGCATTGAAGCAAGAAAAAACATTCTTGTATTGTTACTTTGTGTCTGGTTACGTACTTGCCTATTATCATTTGATTTTCCTTTTTTATTCTGACATATACCTATTCATTTTCCTTGTTATTCATTATGTGAACATTGAAGAATTATGTTTTTAGTTGTATTCCACAACATCCTGTTTGTTATATTATTATATTTCGCATTTTGTTCATCAAACTTCCATAAAAAAAATTGTTTGCGTAGAACTTCTATGGTATAGGTACACTGCTTATACAGAGTGGGCCGTTGAAAACGAAACAGAGGCTCTGTAGGTCGCCAAAACCGGATTATAAAAAAAATCTGAAACACGTCAACTATATTTTCGAGGGGGACATCGTTCTAAAATATTTTCAGCCCTGCGGCGTTGCCGCTTCTAGAGAAAAGAAGCAACAACTTTGTTATTTCAAATGGAACACCATGTATTTTATTGCATTTTTAGATTCTCCCCGAAGAGCTGATTTCATCAATGCATCACACTTGGGGTCTAGCTGTAATGGTTTCAGGGATATAAAGTGTTCAAAATCGAGATTTTTCAACTTTACCATTTTTTTGTGTCGAAACTATTCATTATTGGTCAAAATGGCTTTCATCTCCCTATCTCAACTTGTGATTCACTATCTACTAACATTTAATTGGAACAGATACAGGGTGATCAGAATTCTGAATCTTGAACCACCCTGTATTTGTTTCAAATAAATGTCAGTAGATAGTAATTCATAAGTTGAGATAGGGACATGAATGCCGTTTCGACCAATAATGAATAGTTTCGACACAAAAAAATGGTAAAGTTGAAAAATCTCGATTTTGAACACTTTATATCCCTGAAACCATTACAGCTAGACCCCAAGTGTGATGCATTGATGAAATCAGCGCTTCGGGGAGAATCTAAAAATGCAATAAAATACATGGTGTTCCATTTGAAATAACAAAGTTGTTGCTTCTTTTCTCTAGAAGCGGCAACGCCGCAGGGCTGAAAATATTTTAGAACGATGTCCCCCTCGAAAATATAGTTGACGTGTTTCAGATTTTTTTTATAATCCGGTTTTGGCGACCTACAGAGCCTCTGTTTCGTTTTCAACGGCCCACTCTGTATGATTATGCGTCTTATGGTACGCGGCACCCTGGACGCGAGTTTGCCGTTTTACTTCCATCCCAGAAAACGTCCAACGTGCCAATAGAATTTATTATCACTTCAAAAATGTGTCACGGGAAAAAATCCAAAGACCTGAAAGATTAGGAACATTTTTGAGTCTGAAAGGCGGCGCGTCCATCATATAGCACCAGGCGGCAAATCACATCAAACCGGCACTGGGTCACAAACTTGAATTATTCATTAGGTCAACATCATGAACAAGTCTGCAAAAAATCAGAACTACCGGATTTGACGCATACGGTGATGTATAAAGTTACTGGATTAATAAGTCATTTAAAATGTTACCTGCGCGGTCGTCTTCGACGCATACGCCGCCGTTGTCGCAGGGCTCCATAGCGCAGACCGTGGCGCAGAGAGGGCCCACGTGACCTCGGTCGCATTCGCAGTGCGATCTGCCCCAGTCGATGACGCATCGCGCGGATGCGGGGCACTCGCTGTGGCACTCGTTGGTGGAGAAGCAGCCGTCTTCGACGTTCTCTTTGACGGTGGGTCGGTTGAGGGAGGTCTGGTGGTTGCCGATTTTCACGTCTTGGATGCATCCTGGATGGCGAGACAAACGAGAATACTGTTAGTTTTTTTTTGTATGTTCTGGTTCCCACGAAAATAAGGTAGGAATTGGTGTTCTTCTTGAATTTCTGGAGGTTATATGCCTCGGAGAACCTCTCCCTTGGCAATGTGTTGCGAAGCCTCAACTCGACGGGTTAATCTCTCGGGGACTGCCAAGGGAGGAACAATTGTTGATAGTTCAGAAGAGCATCGTCCATGGAAATATCTATAAAATAGAGCCAGATCGCCAATTTTTCTACGCTGATCCAGAGAAGTGAGTGAGTTTGTGAGCGAGGCATCACCCACAGAATCCAACAGTTTCGGGGTATGTTTTTTTGGGTGCTGCCAGTCTTTTGAAATTAAATGGACATGTATCATAGAAGAAATATATAGGTCTAGGAAATATTTGGGATTTCATTACCATGGGCTAGAGTGAGATGTTAATGCGCCAGTCGACCAGCATTTACTCAAGGTGTGAAGCGAGTTTTTTCTACCAAGGTAGTTTTCGTCATTTTATGAACTACTAGTCAATAAATATATAGCCACATCTGTTATAAAAAACCTGAATTCACTGTTCTGATGCGAGATTCGCAGGAATGGCACTCGAATCTATTAGGTATTTATCAATAACGACTTGTCATATGCTGTCATGGTAAGTTATATTTCGAAAAAAGTAATCTCGATTTCAGAATTGGTTAGTTCGCTTTCAGAAATGGTAAAGTCAATTTCAGAATCGTTGGGATGAATTTCAGAAAAAGTACATTCAATTTCAGAAATGGTGAGTTGTATTTCAGAATTGGTAGGTTCAATTTCAGACGATGAATCCTTATATATGTTTGACATGTTTTCAATTGCAAAAGAGAAGATTGTTTACAGTGGATGGAAGGGTGTTTGAGAGCGTGCGTTTGGAATGGACATCCTGCTGATACCATAGTGGTAGTTCTGGATAATGCACCTGCACATTCAAGAATAGAAGAGATATGCATGGAGGAAGAATTTCAAGATGTTATAATATTTTGCAGATTGGCACCTTACAGCCCTATATGTTGAACCCGATTGAACATATATGGAGTGCCTTCAAGTCAGAAGTGAAGAGCTTTTTGCAAGAGCATTGCCAAAGAGTCATAGCTGGGGATCCGAACAGATTACTCAACAAGATAGAATTCAGACCGCAATGTCTTGAAGAATGTGCAGATCATTCAATGAAAATGATAAACCCTCAAATGTGTTTGCATTCTTATAATCATGTGCAACGCCACTATCCTCCTGAGATTCGGATGGAAGACATCTGTGGATTAAATTGAGATTATATTTATGTTATTAAATTGTTTTTGAAAAGTTGCATATTTTAAATATGGTTTGTTGATCTCACATGCAATTGGAAACAGTTCAAACAAATATAAAGATTTATTTTCTGAAATTGAACCTACCAATTCTGAAATACAACTTACCATTTCTGAAATTGAATGGACTTTCTCTGAAATTCATCTCACCGATTCTGAAATTGAGTTTACCATTTCTGAAATCGAACTAACCAATTCTGAAATCGAGATTACTTTTTCTGAAATATAACTTACCGATTCCGAAATTGAAGTTGAAAAGGTATAGATGTTCATTAGAATTGAAATGATGATTGAATTATATTGCTGATGGTGGAAAAAATTTGATATACACCTCGATAGTAAATAATAATAATGGGTAATAATGATATTCCCAACTAACTTGGTGTATAAAATACTATTATGCCTTGGAGAATCAGCGAGTCATTTGAACAATTGTTCCCCCCTCTGATTGCCTACTCAACTGGAGGCCTCAGAGCAACCGGCAGTTGAACCATGCTAGGCTAGCACGGTTGCTAATTTTTTTATAATTTCATGACCTGTGAGGAATCATGTAAGTAACAGCCAATTGCGAGTAAAATGTGAGTAATCTGAAGTCACCACAAGGTGGTAATATTCGAGAAATTTTTGAGAGTGAATTGATGTATGCTGGTCAGCTAGTCCTTCTACTGAAAGTATTCAATGGAGGAGTAGTAAATCCATAACAAAAGAAAAAACATAAAAATTGGAAAGTGGTAATTTTGGGGGTCACTCGGCTAGAGATACAATGAATCTGTTTGTTGCGTTTGAGAATGAGCCAGTTCCGAGCAAGCCTCCATATTGCTGGCATCTGGTGACACGCTGGTAACAAATCAATTCATGGGACCAGGGTTGCAAGATATTTTTGAGATGAAGTGGAAAATTCTCAATGCTGCAGTATCCCCAATTCACCCAATACGAAATATCCTATAGGAAAAAACACACCACAGATAAACTGCACAATACATAGATTATTTTAGCGACATTTGTTAGAACTCTTATTTTAAAATCAGAATCAGTATTCAGAGGAAAAATTCTACAAAACAAAATTGAAGAACAACACAGTGGTATTTCTGAGCGTTCTAAGAAAAGATATGAAATTAAAAAGTTAAAAATAGTAGTCAGACGCAGATACTGCATACTGCTGTGTGAGGATCGTTGGTACACAATAATGAAGTTACTCCCAACCTTGGTATTTATCGTATTTGATGAGATAATATCATTTTTATCATTCTCCATTTTATACTATAGTAATTCCTACGAAAAGGGAAATTTTAAAGGAATTGATGAACTATGGCCTAGTTGAATACTTGATTACTCATCGCGTATATCTGTTATATTTTATGCTGGTCGACTGGGCGATAACTTATCTCTATAGCCCATGGTAACTCCCTATGAAACCGATAAAACACCAAATATTTTCAAGACATGTAAACGGGAAGAATGAACAACCCTTCTTTTGACGTTGAAATCGGTTAACAAAAGTATCAACTGCTTTATTTGTGATTCACTTAACAACCTCATAAAATAAAGCTACAATTTACCGTTCATAGTTTTTCAAACTAAATGAAAAATCTTGAACAAGAACACAAATGGTGGAATATTCAGTTTTCTAGATGTTTGTGATTTGTATTATAGATATATTGAAAGGATACTAATACTTTTGTTTATAGAGACGAGGACAGAAAGACCCGAAAATCTAGAAAAATAAACAAAAATGATATTCCTAAGAAGAGAGAAACAAAAATCAGCAGATACTTCAACACAACAAACAATTACATACCATCCAAATAATTGTAGCCTGCATTCAAACTCGAATAAGTGTTGTCCGGTCCACCGATGAGGATCTTCCCGACATACAGCCCTTGAATCTTCTCGCCGAAAGGAAACACCCCGTAGCTCTCCCCATAATCCACACTCAATTTGATCTCAGTACCGATCCACGTGACTTCGACGTGATGCCATTCCCCGTCAGCCACGAACTTCGTTGTCAGCATCAAAGACTCCCCATTGTAGGCGTACAACAAATGCCCCTTATTCAAGGACACGACGGCTGAGCTATTTTGCCCCACTTGGATCGACATGAGAAACGTGTCTTCCTGCAGAGTCCTCACAGACAACGCGTTGAGCCACGGCAATTGAATAGGCCGCAAAAGCGGGTTGAAGGAAAGGGTTCCATCCCCGGAAAAATGCCACGGAGTGCCGATGGTCTCGCTGCAGTCCTTATCTCCGTATCCTTGAGGACATATGCATCTGTACATTGCCCAGCCTTCTATACATTTCCCACCGTTTTTACACGGCCTAGAGTCACAGAAAGATCTCTTCTCCGGGCACCCGGGGTCAGTTCCGTTGTCAGTCACAAACGAATTCAAATCCACGAACTTGTGGTCGATTTCCAACTGAGCTATGCAGCCCTCGTAGTGGAAGTTTCGTATCTGGAACGAACCGGCTTCTGTCGGCACTCCTCCCAGTTGCAAGGGACCAGTCAGGTCGAGGAATCTGTGACAAGTTTCGGTTAGTGAGGCGCATCTCGGCTCCAAACTGTGTTCGGCGAAGCCAGCGCATGCCCATTTGGCTCCGAGTTCTTTCCCGTGCTTTAGAGCCAAGGCGGTATCGCAATCGTCCAGAGACACGGTTACTGTTTTGTTGAAGTAATGCGCTACTACCGTGTGCCATTTTCCGTCAGACACGCCTCCAGGAACGGTAGCTTTGACTTTGGTCACCTCGCTACCCAGAGAAAACGAGAATTGTATCGACTTTTCGACGATTTCCAGAGCTATGAAGTCGTGCTGTTCGTTGTAGCGTCCGTTGTAGAGCAGCAGGCCGTTTTGAGCTTGTGTAGCAAACTTCATCTTCAAATGCAAGCGGTGTCGTTGTTTCAAGCTGGGGAAAGTTAAGAACGAAGTTTTCGTGAAACTGCGACTCTTCAGCTCGCAAAGCGGAGTATAATGCTCGGATTCGGCCATAATGTTGCAATCCTCGCAAACGAAATTCGATCTTCCTGGCCTGGGAATGCACGTTTTGTCTTTCGTACAAACGTTCGGTCTACAAACGTCATTTTCGACTCGCACCTCACAATTATCCCCTGTGAAATTCGCAGGACATACACAAGTGTAACCTCCCTCTCTGACTCTACAAGTCCCGTTGTTCTTGCAGGGCGACGAATAACACAAGTTCACTTCCGTGTCGCACAAATAATGCTCTTTAGAGCCTGTGAATCCCTTGGGACACCGGCAAGTGAACGTAGTCACCGGGTAAATAGGCCTAAACAAAACTGTGTCACTGCTTATGAACCCTGAGGCGTTGCCAAACTTCAGAACGGTGAGACACTCTTCGTAGTTCAAGCAGGGCTCTCTGACGCAAAGATTGTCATCGAAGGGCAGGATTTGAACGGTGGCCAGGCGGGCCAAAACGCCTCTATTAAGGTACACCCTTTCTTGCAGGAACTGCGGAGAGTAGTACTGTTCCTTAGGCACGTCTGGTCTTTTGACGGAGAAACTGACGTTCAGAATTTTAGATGCGACATCGGTGTCGTCTTGTATGCTGAATAAGAAAATGTTTTCTTTCGGACAAGGGATTATAGCAGCTAGGCCGTCGATGAAATAGCCTAATAGGGGAGAAAGAAAGGCTTCTTTCGTCATTTGGTACAAGCGTACGGTGATCGAATTGAACAGCATCTCCTCGGTTATCAATCGAACTGCGAGCGTCATGATAGCCTTAATTTCGTTGACGCCGTCAGTTACAGACACCTCCATCGAAGCTATTTTAGGCACGTTCGTATTCAGCTGCGGCGATAGCTGCAGCTGACCAGTACTATCATTCAAGGCAACTAGTTTCGCATTGTTGCCCGACAAGATTCTGTAGTGCAGTTTGTCGGATACGTCTGCATCGAAAGCCGGGATCCTACCTATCGATCCAGTAGGAAAACAGTCTCTGAAATTATTGAACATGACCTGGAAATCTTTAAGCACCGGGGCGTTATCGTTCACATCAGTGACCACCACCTCCACGTGCGCGTCACTTCTCAATGGCGGACTAGCAGCTCTGACCACCAAATCGAATTGCTTCTTCGGACTCTCGTAGTCCAGTTCGACCATGGTGAGCAGCTCGGCTTTCTCTGAACCTGGTCTAGTGATCAAAGAAAAACTTTGAGCGTCCTCGCCACCTATGATGGAATATTGAACGATGGCGTTCACGCCCTCGTCTGGATCCTTGGCATAAATATCCCCGACCGTAGACCCTATAGGGCTGTTTTCCGAGATATACAGGACGATTTTGTCCGAATCGAAAGCCGGCGGGGAATCGTTGACGTCTTCTATGCGAATGCTAACAGGCACTGAACTGCTGAGAGTAGGGGAACCTCGATCGATTGCGTAGGCCTCCAGTTCGTAAAAAGGCACCGATTCTCTGTCTAGGCCTTTGTTAGTGCGTATCACCCCGCTAGTGGGATCTATAACGAACGACCCGTCTTCCTGGTCTTTTTCGCTGAGGGAGTAGTGAATTTTGCCGTTCAAACCCACATCAGAGTCGGTTGCAGACACTTGCACAACCGATGTGCCAACCAAAGCGTCTTCAGGCACCGTTCCTGAATAGGCCGTTAGTTTGAACACCGGATAATTGTCGTTAACGTCAGTTACGGTGATTTCCACATCAGTGGTGTCGGACAAGGGTGGGGCACCACCATCTCTAGCAGTGACTGTTAGCAAATACCCGGAAGTCGTTTCGCGGTCCAAGAGTTTGGTGGTGACTATCGCTCCGGTTTGATGGTTGATCGCGAACACCGAGTCTTTACCCTGGTCGTTCAATTCGTCCCCTAAAGAATAAGTTATTTGGGCGTTCAGCCCCACGTCATTGTCTGTCGCGGATACAACTAGGATTGTCGTGCCGATAGCTACGTCTTCGAATGCGCTAGCCGAATACGGGGCGTTCTCGAAAACCGGTGCGTAATTATTAGCGTCCGTCACGTTGACGTAGACGGTTGACGTGTCGGTTCGTCCACCTGAATCTGTCGCGGTGACGGTGAGGACGTAGCGTTTTTCTTGTTTGTAATCTAGAGGCTGGGCGACTGTTATTAGGCCTCGGCCATTTTGAGAGGTGATGGCAAAACGGCCACGGATGTTGCCATTGGTGATTTCGTAGTGGAGGCGGCTGTCTTCGTCTGGGTCTACGGCTGTCACTGTGGCGACAGGGGTTCCTGAGTAAAGAGAGATTACGTTGGATGGACATTCAGTGTATTTGAACAAAGTAAGTTACTGTTATACAATAACCGATCCACACGTCAGGACCATTTGCCAAACTGATCGCTATGTAACTTTTTTAATTCTCGTCCGATTTTAGTGAAATTTTGACCAAATAGTTGATGTTTCAAAATGTTAGCCCGTTTCCAAGAAAAGCTGATATCTTGATCATTATACAGGAAAAAACGATGGTTTACCTTCAATTTCTTAATGCCCTGTGACAAAAGTGAGTGAATAAACTTAGCTTTATTATGTTTGGGTTGAAATGTGATGTCTGATGGACACAATGGTTTTTGATTCACGTCATTGTATCATTTTCGAAAAAAGATACAAGTGTTTGAAGTAAGTATGGATTTTGAAACTTTCATTAGCATTAATTCAGTACCTACTTACACTTATCGATTAACAACTTCAAAAAACATCTAAAAATTGGTATCACTTATTGCCATTCCATTTCTCATAGCACTCACCGGCAAAAAAATGAATGAAAAACAGACTTTATAGATGAAGTCAATAAGGAGTATGACCTCCTCGATATCGATTGATCGACCGATGTCCCGTTAGCTGAATTGATAGAACGTTGGGCATGTAACCTAGAGCACAGTTTAAACTGTGCCTAGAGGCTGTGAGTTCGACTCTCACGAGGGGCGGTGGTATTTTTTCATTCCGATGTCATTCGAAATTAGGGTTTCCATCATCTTCATTTTACTTGATTCTTTGGGATTCTCTCTCCTCGTTTCTATAAAATAAAAGTATTCGTATCATTTCAATATATTTGTAGAGGGACAAATCAGATGATTGATGAATTTGAAAATTCGATATTTTCTCAATATATCAATATTTCTTTCATTCAAACATTTTTTCAAACAAATTGTCACTGACAAGCTACTGGATTTTTCTTTTAGACTCCCTGATAGACAAATATCGGCAAACAATCAATTTTTCACACAGGAATCGTTCTATACAACTCATTACCAAGTCAATTGAGAAATATACAGGAAGCAACTAGATTCAAAATTAACTTAAAAAAATATCTGCTTCAGAGACTTTGATAATTCCATTTCTTATTTGAATACCTACTTATAAAAGACTTGGTTGATATTGCATGATTATTTGCATTTTTTTTTTTTTTTTTTTTTTTTTTTAACTTGTTATATCTTATTATAATTTCATAATTGTATGTATAACATTATGTATATTGTTTATGTATCCCTATTATAAACAACTATGTTTCTTGGGGTAATAAAGACAATCAATCAATCAATCAAATTTGTTAAACGCAGTGACATTTTGGGGCAAATCATCTGATTTGTCCCTCTACAAATATATTGAAATAATACGAATACTTTTATTTTATAGAAACGAGGAGAGAAAATCCCAAAGAATCAAGTAAAATGAATGTACCACCCCCTCGATTAACCTACAGACAGTATTTTCCATCATCTTCATTATTAAACTAAAATTCAGGCTAACATTCCGAAACATAAATGTACGATTCTGTCGAAATTTCATCAGAATTGGACAAGAAATAGAAATGTTACATGGCGATGTGACTGAATTTTATCCTTGCCGTTTTTTTTGCGGGTGAGTGTATTTATGAAGTATCAGATTCAACAGTTAGACATAACTGATGATTTGAACCGTTTTGAATGATAAAACATGTTCAAAAAAAGCTAACTATCAACACAATTTCCCCATCATTCACAGAATTCTGTAATGAAACAACGTATTTTGTACTGTATTATCCACGGAATTTTCATTCTCTCACGCAATGGGCTCATATCACAAAAAAATTTTATTTCATAATTCGATAGAACTCACCCAAACTAGCTCACCACCGCAAACCGTTTCTTGCTGTGAGCTCCCTACGTTTTATAAAAAATTATTGAAATCCCCGATTCTTCGGACCTCTGAAAACGAGGCGATGATGTGACGTCAAAACCCTAATACTGAAACAAGACTATTCCAGACAGAGATGAATGATACATGATTTCTGACAAATCAATTCTAACCTAGATTGACTTTTTGCAGCTCCATGTGAAACGGGTCAACAAAGCAATGTTGCTATGTTTATGAAATATATTGGATTATTGTGAAATTGTAATGGTGCAAATGGTTTTGAGATTGAGACATGTCGTTGTCTAGAGATTGTTTATACTCCAATGATTCAACCTACAATCGACAACTCGAATATAATTTTCTGCAGTAGTGGTAGTGGATATCAAAAGATATTTCAATATCGATTTCGATTTCTCGGTTATTTTGTTTGGATGATATGGCAACAGTAATAAGTGTCAGGAGAGTGTCAGTTTCAACCATATATCTATTATTTCTATATATGGCGCATCGCCTATACGATATCTCAACAAAAATGGGATTGAATCTATGAGAACGAAAAGTGAAGGATGGAAACAGCCATATTGGTTTGACAAATTTCCTATTATTTTTTCCCAACGTCGGTATCAACGCCTATTGGTCGAATTCATTACCTATACAGAAATGGGTCCCGCTTTGAGGAGAGCTATGATTTATATATCAGTAGTAGATATATATGGTTTATATATATATATGGCGAGATGGGGTTTCTACGTCATAAGAGGGTCTCCGTTTTCAGAAGGTACTATCATTTATGTCCAAAAATAAAACATTCCAGTTAATTTTTCGATCGAATTATGTCGTCAATCATTATTTATGTATAAAAGGATCATTATAAACATGGTTTGAGTTAAAAGTTCTACTAAGGTGTACACGCCCATTCATCCACCCAAAAATTGTTGTCTCGTATTTACCTGGTGTGTCATCTTCGGCTATCACAGATTCATAATTCTTAGGCTCGAACACCGGGTCATTGTCGTTCACATCCTGAACGGATATTACCACGCTGGCACTGGCAGATTGCGGTGGTACACCTTGGTCACTCGCGATAACCTAGAAGAATTCGTTTCGGAATTCCATTTTCAATGAACATCAAACACAATAGGTAATTTGAGGGTAGTTTATTGGGTGGAGGTTTCAATTTATTTTTGACTTCAATGAATATTTTTGATAGTATTTGTGAAGAAAATAGTTCACGGAAATCAGGTTATTGATACAGAATAGTAGTAGAAGGTATTGGTGTGGTTTCAGGTATTAATTATTTCCTGAATGTCGTCTCATAAGTCCCCGAGGTAGGAGGCTACGCCATATATTTGACAGCAATTTATAGGAAAATTTTGCTGCGGAATGGCCTTTTGCGATTATCCCGATTCCTAGAGCTTCAATAACCAAAATACACCAATTCATATAAGAAGGTACGATAATTCTGCACAAAAAAGATTCAATGACATTTTCTCCAAATTTCCAGAAACTTCGAGAACAAATTAACAGTTTCCGCTTTTCAAATTGGCGGAAAATTTGAATATCCAAAATAAAAGACATTATCGCTACTTCCTCCAGAGACTTGATTCTTCCCAGATGTCTATCAACAAAATCAAAACATCAACCTGAATTTATCAAATACATCAATCACAAAAATAATGCCAAACGAAATTAATTGATTCACAATGGTCAATTCCTAGTGAAACCATCCGCCTCAGCATTCCTGGAAAATCCAATACCTATCGTCCTACTGTGATGAAGTTTCAAGTGGAAATAGCAGTGTGAAAAGTGAGTATGACAAGGGTCTCTGAAATGGTATTTCATATTACTTTATATTATTTATCTCTTTCAGATAAGTTCCTGTAAAAACCATCCGTATCATCCTTCTACTTGGATCACAACAAAGCAGATATAGCAAGAGATATCAACGTATTTATTGAAATAGTATTTTTATTTTATGTACAGTGTGAAATCTCAGGTGTGTATCCACATATTAGGTTTGAGAATAATTAAATAATATGCAGCAGATTGAGTTGAATTTATGTTATTGAAAAATGTTAACCATGTTATTGTGACAAAATATCCTGTCAGATGTGCTCAGCAGTACAGAATAGTATAGAATCAGACAAAATATACAGTAGTGAAAATTTACATGCTACAGTACCTAGATTGTCATGTGAATGAAGGCAGTGAATGCCACCAAAAATTGAAGAGTATCTCTTCTCTTACCAATGAAAATACCTCCGCCGCACGAAAAATAGTTTCAAATATAAAAAAAAATACACACACACAATGACTCACCTGAAACATATACTTGGGCTGCAACTCCCTATCCAACTCCCTCGTCGTATAAATCCACCCCGAGTGCGCATCCACAGACAGCGCCAAGTCATCGGTACTACCCCCGGTCGCATCTCTAGCCGACAAGGCGTACTTGATATCCGCATTCGATCCCTCGTCAGCGTCGTAAGCCTGCACTTTCACTACGCTGTAGCCCACAGGAACGTTCTCCAGGACGCTCTCCTTAAAATAACAATAGATCATGAATCATCAAAAAGTGTATGACAACAATGCTTGAAGCCAAACACGAATGAACGAATGAAATTGCGAATGGTGGGGATAATAACAGACACTTGTACACTGGCAGGCGTGCTCAGACTGAATAACTATAGATAGACACCGAGATTGAATCATAAATCATTAAAAAGTACACACCGACTATTCTAATCGCTCAACTCGGATAACTGGATGAAATCGCAAATGGTGGGGATAACTCTTAGGAATCATTACCAGAAAATTGATATTTTTCATCGATATAATTTATCGGTACTACCCCCGGTCGCATCTCTACCCAACAAGGTGTACTTGATCTACGAATTCGATCCCTCGTCAGCGTCATAAACCTGCACTTTTACTATGCTGTACCCCACAGGAACGTTCTAAATCCAGTCAATAGTTATTCAACCAACTAGTGTATTGATGATAGTGATTAATGATCAAGATATTTTATTATTTATTTTACTAAATAATATACCAGTTGGTTACACAATTTTTCCTTCGACTATATTACTCCTGCAATGATGAAAATTTGTTTCGCGAATTCATCATTCATCCGGAAACGTAAAAAAAGTAAAAATTGTAAAATCTTCGATGAAATCCATATTTTCGATTTGAATGCAGATTCCATAAGTTATAATCCAAAAAGTGAAAGGAGGCGGTGTATGTTTGGTTGTCCATACCACAATCGTTCCTTAATAGACAAATTGACCATTAACGATCAATTTCGTGTACAGTGCATCCCATTTTGGCTAATACCGCTAGGATTTTCCGTTGTTATTGACGATAGAGCTTCGCGGTTTTCACGTACCTGTCCTACTTTTTTCGTGAAACTCAAGATGGCCTAATCAGATTTTGCATAACTGTTTCCGTTTATGAGATACAGGGCGATTTTGAAAATTCATATATTTTGAACTGCAACATTTTTGGAAAATGAGTTATACCCACCAGAAGATAGAGAAAAGGTGAAACTATATGGTAAAATAATGCCATAATTTTAGTGGAATATTTGGCCGTTTGATGTAAGTTACGTCGTTATGTAATTTGTATCAAGTGGCACTATTTCACTGGAAGAAAACTGTCGCAACGGTCAGTGGTGAGAACAAATTATGGATAAAATTGTATCTTTTCCATAGTAATTGGTCATTCTTGTAGATTATTATAAATTTTCTGTTCAAATCTTCACATATAAAATCCAAACTGATTCATAATATCGATGAAAAAGATTAAGTTATTGACATTCTCAATTTCAGACACATCTCTTAAGCCAAACGAAATAATATAGATATTTCAGGTCGAGAAAATACGACGGCTTGGAACTGGGGCGAAGATTTGTGAAATGAAAAGCTGTTTTAGTATGTAAGTTCAGAGCCGTCAACAAAGAAGGCGTTCTGAGATTATACACCCACCCTCAAATTTGAATCTCTGACATCAAGGGTTGTAAATCTTTGGTTGAAACAAATATCATTTTCGACTTACAAATATTCAGCTTCTCATTCTTATTATTCATATGAAATTTCGAACTCAGGGTTCTTCTGATTAAACAGTTCGATATTATTTTTTAGTTCCTATTTGTTCTTACAGTTGGGTAATCATTCGAGGGTTGTTTATTGATGTTCGGAAATGTAGACAAAGTTTCAGTTGTAGATTGTAGATGGGTCGTATAGGCTGAGAGACCTCTCGATCACTGCGACCTAGAAGATCTATTGTGATTACCCCTATCTAGTTTTGGTCCTCTAACCCTAGACTTCTGATGAAGCCTACGATTTTCCTGACGGTTGACTTTTCCACTTCAGCGGGGGTGAGATAGACCTGTTCTAGGTGGTTCAGCCTTTGGCGGACTAATACTTCACATGAGCAAAGTATGTGTTCCGCGGTTTCGGTCGCATTGTTACAAAAGCGGCAAGTGTCAGTCTCCGCCAGACCCATCTTTTTGAGGTGGTACCTCAGAGGGCCATGTCCTGTGAGAAAGCCTGTGATAAGCTTTAGCTCTGGTTTGCTGAGGCTGAGTAGCTCTTTGGCTCGGTTCTGCGAATGGTTGATGAACCTTTTCGTTTGTCGTTGACCTGGAGTTGCTCTCCAGTAGGAGGGCTTTTCAATTTCTTCCCATTTCCCGAGTTCTCCCTTTAGGTGACATTTGCTGATCCCCCAAAAAGGCTCAGGATCAAAAAGTGCAGATGTTGCACCTTTTTTTGCAAGGCGATCAGCTGCCTCATTTCCTTTGATTCCTTCATGCCCTGGAACCCACATAAGTGTGACTTTGTTGCCCTTTCCCAGTTGCATGAGTGTTTCAAAGCAGTCCCATGTAATCTTTGATGTGCAAACGAATGATTTTAGGGCTTTGGAAGATAGTGGGGGAGTGAAAGTTTCAGTTAAAATTACAATTATAGCCTACAAGTGCAATTCATTCTTCTGAAATTATTTCCCTTTGAGTAAATGATTCGAAAAACTCTCTACATCTTTGTCCAATGAACTTGAGATGATTCTAGTTTATACCATTGCTCATGAGTGAACAGAAAATATCATCAATCAATGAGATCCTTCATCTGTTTTCATTATTGAAACCAAGGAAATCATCAAAAGTGTCGACACAATTGACTAAGATGTTTTTTCTTTCAGCATGAATAGAGACATAACTTCAAATATCCATATCGAATTTCAGAATATTATCTCTTTGAACATACTACATTGAAGTATGAGGGTATACTCCCAATATATCGAAGGTTCAAACTCATAGATTAAATCGCCTATTCGGAAATCGAAAAATTGATATTTTGAATTCGTCTTTTCCTTCTCCTGTAAAATGAACTTTTTTTTGCATTTGCGTCATTATTATTCTGGAGCAGCGATATCATCATAACTCTCCCTCTAGCAGATCTTTCGAGCACAAACCTGGAACAGTGACGCGTAGAACCTCGGCGCGTTATCGTTGACGTCCTTGACGTTGACCAGCAGCTGCGTGGTGTTGGAACGCGCAGGGCTGCCGCCGTCTTGCGCCCTGATCACCAGCCGGTAGTTGCGGATGGTCTCGTAGTCCAGGGGCTTGACCAGCGACACATCGCCTGTCAGACTGTCGATGGTGAACTGGGATTGCGTATTGCCGCTGATTATCGCGTACCTGATGGCCGCGTTGGCGCCTTGATCGGCGTCGGTGGCTCTGGAAAGAATATTTTTTCAGCAAACAGTAGATAAAATGACTAATTTCAAGTTGTTTGTTGAATGCTGATGAAAACAACAATTTCAAAACACCCAGTGGAATAATTTCATGGCCATATTCATTCAAAAATACCAATTTTTATTGAGAACCATCTCTTTCCAACATTCTGACTTTAGATTCATGTCTTAGGCGTGCACTGGTTCATTTTTAAGAGTAAAATGAACAGTTTACTTTAAGAAATGTTATTTTTTGACAAGGTGACTGGTCGTTGTTGTCCTAATGCCAAATTGACAGTGATTTTTCAACACAAAGCCTGTACTCTTATCATGGTTTCAGGTGCGAAGAATTCTGCAAAAAGCTGTTGATCTTGTTGAAGGTGGACGTATTTATGAATATGTTGCAAGAATACTTCATGTTCATCGTTCTACCATCAGAACAGAAGATGACCGTTTTAGACTAACTAGCAGAAATAAGTGTTGGGCATGTTATTGCAGAAAAAGCAAAACTATTGCCACTGATGACAGATTTCTTCACGTTAAAACTCTGCGGGATCATCACTAAACATCAGTACAGTGAAAAACTAAACTGTAAGAGATTCCTAGTACAAATAATGTGAATGTGGAAAATTCGCCCTGATCACCAGCTGGTAGTTGAGGATGGTTCTGTACTCAAGGGGCTTGACCAGCGACACATCGCCTGTCAGACTGTCGATGGTGAACTAGGATTGCGTATTGCCGCTGATTATCGCGTACCTGATGGCCGCGTTGGCGCCCTGATCGGCGTCGGTGGCTCTGGAAAGGATTTTTTTTCACCAAACTGTAGATAAAATGACTAATTTCAACTTGTTTATCAAATCAGGAGGGGTGAAAGAACCTACAGTCACAACTCCACCACATGAACAATTTGATAATGAGCAACGGTCATGGACATAAGGACATATTTCGAAAGATTAATCCTTCATCATCAGCAAATCCATAAAAAGAAAATCTGTAAGAAGAAACAACGCTTATGTCAGACAATATCACAGCTCTATAAGAGCTTAGTTTTCAAACATAGTTTGATATAAAGCAAATATTGAAATGAACCGACATGTGGATCTGAATTTGTTGAATTAGGTTAACTAATCACAAATGACAACCGACAAATGACAATTGACAATAATGACGCTGAGGATAAAACACAACTTCAGAATGACACTAGTCTAATCAAAACCAAGATGTTTTGATTCAAAGTGACATAGAACATAGAACAGAATTATAGTTAAAATCATAAGTAGTTGAATAATTTAAGACTATCGAATTGAGTTTGCTCATTGAGGCAGTTGGGGTTAGAGTTTTTGATAGCTTTCAAGGAGGTTAAGTTTTCTTCATTTGTCACAGATATGTAAAATTTCCATGTTAGAATTGGGATCAAAAGAGTGTTTGTTAAATGCTGACGAAAAGATGTTGTATATCAACAATTTCAAAACACCCTGTGGAATAATATCGTAGCCATATTCTTTCAAAATACCAATTTTTATTGAGAACCATCTCTTTTTTACATTGTAACATTTGATGTATGTCTTCAAGTGAACTGATTCATTTTAAAGAGCGAAATGAACTTGTCACCAACAGTTTACTTTAAGAAATGTTATTTTTTGACGAGGCGACTGGTCGTTGTTGCCCTTATGCCAAATTGACAGTGAGTTTTTTACACAACACATGTACTCCTATCATGGTTTCAGATGCGAAAAATTCTGCGAAAGCTGTTTGTCTTGTTGAAGGTGGACGTAATTATGAATATGTTGCAAGAATACTTCATGTTCATCGCTCTACCATCAAAACAGTAGTCGAACGTTTTAGACTATATTAAAGAGATTTTCATGGACGATGCTCTTCTGAAATATCAACAATTGTTCCTCCCTTGGCAGTCCCTGCGAGATTAACCCGTCGAGTTGAGGCTTCGCACCTCTTCGTGGTCACTTTGGAGACCTGCAGAACATCTCTTTCCAAAGACTCGTTCATCCATCAAACAGCGAGGCTCTACATTGCCAAGGGAGGTGTTCCCCGAGGCATAGATATAACCTCCAGAAATTTGAGAAGAACACCAATTATTCTATAAGGCGTCAATAATCTTTATTAAAAAGAATCCGGCAATAACCAATGAAATCAACTATAGTTAGGATACAATAAACAAAATCAACAATGTACGTCTAGAAAAACAAAAGATTAGAATTTAAGAAAAACATAGTTTTATTGGATCTGAAATTTATTATAAAATGCCATCGAAATTACAAACGCCTAAATATCATAACTCTCAAAAGAAGATAAAAGTTGGCTTATAGAACATGTGAAAAAAAGTTGATGATTTTTTCAATCAACTTCATCTTTCTTGATTTCAATTTATTCTCATTATTGTATGTATTGATTATTTGTTTTTAGTTTGAGTATTTATATTATGGAAAAACAATTTTATATGTGAAATAATTCATCCCAATAATTGTGGTCCTTCCATTTTATTTTTTCAACCATGTATTCGTAAAAACAAAAAAAAATGTTTGTAATATTGTAATGAAGTGTTTTTGACCAGCTTCATTACTAGACTGGTTTTGATCAAAATCAAAGTACCTGAGCCTGATTCTAGTTGAATTTCACCTGTTCAAATGCTCAAAACCTGAAAACCTGAGAGAGCTGAGTAATGCATTGATTCCTGACTTCCCACAGCTTCTCCTGATAGTAAACTCTGATGAACATCATTACAACCCTAAAGTCTTCAATATTTTTCAACCCTTTGCTTATGATATGAAATTTTGATGAATTATTTATCAGTTGAAATGATGAATGTTTGACTGCTCATAACTTGGTTGTTATTGAATATTTTCCAGCCAAATTCATTTAGTAGCATAAGCAAAGGTAGTAGATCCTGTTCCTGTGCCCATTTTGGGTTGAATATTATTTTTTCCCCGTTTTGTGTTGGAGGTGCACATGTGCTTTCCGAGGACAGATTTAGTGGCCATGGCCATGAGCCATGACAAGGTGGGAGTTTTGTCCAATGAGATTCCAGATTTACTTGTCCTTGTGCCAAGGCCAAAGTAGTGTATGAATACTGAAGACAGCTAAGGATTCTGGTCTCTCTTCTCTTCTCTACAAGTCTGCACTACCTGCTCGACCTGCTCTTCAAGCTTGGTTCTCTTGCTGATCTCTTAGTGCTCTCATAGTTCATTCAAAACCAGTGTAAAGTATTATTGTATAGTGATTTCCTGTTGCACATGTAAGTTTGTATATTTTTCACCATTATTATTCATCCTGTTCATAGATTCATTTCATTCCTGTTGTTTTTCATACCGATACTCACCCGACCTGTGTAACGAATCCCGAAAGTTGTATTTGCGAATAAACGGTTTTTGTGATTGCATATTTCAGATTTCTTTCTCTGTTGTCATGTTCCAATAATTTATCTACTGATTTTCAATATTTTCATTTGTCAAAATTGCAGATTATTATTATTGACTGACGACTGACACTGACAAGCCAGTTGTAAATTCTTCTTCTTCTTTTCCTCGAGAAATCCTGTCCTGTGCATCCGGGTCTCTGTGCTTTGTGTCCCGTCAGGCGGTGATCTATGTTTCATGAAATTTTGACATGAATGGAAAATATAATTAACCTCACTAAAATCCCGAAATTGAAAAATTAGAAAACCGAAGGAAAAAGAAAGATAAATAAGAATTGAATCTGTTTAATTCGTTTGGAACTGTGTTTCCGATCCTCCAGGTAGAAATGATGAAATAGTTTAAATAAATAATTTTCCAGACCTAACCTCAAAATACCAGAGAGTCCCGAAAGATATTTGTTTTGATTCCTGTAATTATCCAGACTAGAAATAGCAACCAGTATACCAGGCTAAACCCAGGGTTTGTAATTAAAGCCTACACTCCCTTGGCTACTTATTGATTCCAGGTCGATTCAATACCATTGACCCCTGGTTTATACTGTAGGTACCGAGGTAGGTATACCTCCTGTACCTTTCTCCACTGTTGCTACTTTGGGCCTCTGTACGAAAATATTTTGTGCAGAGCAGGTAGAGTAAACTACCTCAAAAACAATCTGGCGCTCGAGAATCCCCCTCCTGTCAAATACCAGAGTAGTCTGCTGTCCTGAACAGAGCGTCAAAGTAAGAGCCGCAGAATAAAGACCGTTACAATATGTGGAAATAATGTATTCCTCCAGAACAGTGCCCCTATGTAACTAAAAGCTGATGATGATGCTTTGCAGCATCGAAACATGTCCCGTAATTTGATTACAATGAAGTATAGTTTTTGTGGACTAGACTGTGAGAATTTCGTCCTGTCCAACTGTGTTAGTATCCAATCAACATCAGAAATACAAAATCGAAAACAAAACAAACAATGTTTTTTATTATCAACACGTATATTCCAACCAATCAAAAATGTGTATTTTGAAATGAGTGGACTAATCTCAGGAATACGTCATTTGGATAATTTAAGCTATATAGGTACTCACTTGATATGTGCTACAACTGGATTGTCATTGTAGTTGATATCCTCGTTCAACGAAACAGCGTACGTCCTTTCGGAAAACTGGGGATAGTTGTCGTTGTCATCCGATACGTGTATGACCACGCTGGCGCTAGACGACCTTCGAGCTGTCTGCGGACTAGCCAAATCCGAGGCGACGACGATCAAGGTATAAACTTCGGTCGTCTCTCTGTCCAACGTCGTCCGAGTGGTTATCACGCCGGTTTTCGGGTCGATTTTGAAGGCGTGCTTGTCATCGTCCTCTGTCGAAGTTCCGCCGCCGCTGATGCTGCTCACGCTGTACTGCACCTCGGCGTTTTTGCCTATGTGGAAGAGCCAAATTGAGCTAGCCATTATAGAAGTTGAGAACAAATTTCAACAATTCAATAAGATTAAACATTTTGGGGAACTAATTAGCGCATGAAAAAATCACAAACGTCAAGTTGTAAACTTCGCTTGTCTCTTTGTCCAAAATCGTTAAAGTGGTTATCACCCTAGTTTTCGTATCGATTTTGAAGGTGTGCTTGTCATAGTCCTCTCTGGAAGATCCTTTCACACCACTGCACCTCGGCGTGTTTGCCTATGTGGAGAGCCAAATTGAGCTAACTATTATAGAAGTTAGAAAAAATGTTTAACAATTCAATAAGATTAAACATTTTGGGGAACTAATTAGTGCATCAAAATAAACCATAAACCTCATGTTGTAAACTTTGGTGGTCCCTTTGTCCAATATCGAGTGGTTATCACCCTAGTTTTTGTATCGATTTTGAAAGCGTGCTTGTCATCGTCCTCTGTCGAAGTTCCGCCGCCGTTGATGCTGCTCACGCTGTACTGCACCTCGGCGTTTTTGCATATGTGGAAGATCCAAATTGCCATTATAGACGTTAAAAAATTAATTCGATGACAATTCAATAAGATTCAACATTTTGAGGAACTCATTGGTGCACGAAAAAAATCATAAACCTCAAGTTGTAAACTTTGCTTGTCTCTTTGTACAATATCGTTAGAGTGGTGATCACCCTAGTTTTTGTATCGATTTTGAGGGTGTGCTTGTCATCGTCCTCTGTGGAAATTCCCCCACCACTGATGCTGCTCACACCACTGCACATTGGTGTTTTTGCCTATGTGGAAGAGCTAAATTGAGCTAGCCATTATAGATGTTAGAAAAATAATTCGATGACAATTGATTAAGATTCAACATTTTGGGGAACTCATTGGTGCACGAAAAAAATCATAAACCTCAAGTTGTAAATTTTGCTTCTCTTTGTTCAATATCGTTAGAGTGGTGATCACCCTAGTTTTTGTAACGATTTTGAAGGTGTGCTTGTCACCGTCCTTTGTGGAGTTTCCCCGGAACTGATGTTGCTCACACCACTGCACTTCGGCGTTTTTGCCTATGTGGAAGAGTCAAAGAGGGAGCTAGTAATTGTTTTTCATCTCTTGATGCGCACGAAAGAGAATACCTATAATGTTAGAGGAACAATCGGTGTACCTTTGGGAAGATATGGAGGCAAGGGAGGTTTTGGATATTTTTTTGAACTAATGGAAATTGAAAGTTCTTAGTAATATTTTTTTGGCAGAGAATTTCAAAACTTTGCGAGAGTCGGTCGATATATTTCGAGGTTGACGACAAAAATATGTGCTGACTGGGCTTATCAAGTATGTCTGATTATTATATTGCTTGTGATGGAGTGAAATATCTATAGGAAAGTGAAAAGTCGTCGATTTTCCTATGGCATTTCAATAATGTCAAAGAATTAGTGAGTGTGAGAGTGTATTTGGGAGATGAGAGTATTGCTGATTGAACTATCGATCATAAATATATAGTGGACTTTGTGAAAATGTCACCAGACATTGATATATCAGGCATAGTTTCGCCTTTCTAGAGAAAATACAGGCTTGAGTTTCGGTTGCATTGAATTCAACTAGGTTGTGAATTTTCCAGGATGTAATTTTAGCAAGAAAACGCAGTATAAAGTCATGTCATCTGCAAAGCTGTGGATAGGGCAAGTGGTTACTCCAAACAGATCAATGTTATAGAGAAGGAAAAAATGTTGATCCTTGCGGAACGCCGGAATTGATGACTATGGTATCAGACCATCCTCCGTCCCTCACTACATGGAGCGATATGCCTGAAATAAAACTCGATGAAAAAGGCATAGCTAAGGTGGTAAGCCATATGATGGTAGTTTGTGGAGAAGTCCTTGGTGCCAAACACGGCCAAATAATTTCGAAAGAATCGATTCCCGATGAAAAAAGCCGCTAATTAAGAATGCTCCAATTGTATTTTCATTATTTCCACAACTTCAAGTTGATACATATGATATAGTTAACCTGGTTTGCCTAGTTGGGTTCGAGGAAAAACGACTTTTATGAACTTGACCGGCTACCGTATTGGACCCCTCAATTATTACAGGCTATACATTGCCTTGACAGCCATATCAACCTTATTCCTACCAACACTCCACCTCCCGTGAAAGGATAATATACTGTGCCTAAAGCATAATCGTTGGCGTCCAGCACGTTAATCTGCAGTATGGTGGTCGGATCAAAGGGGAAAAGTGTCGTCAGTCGCGATATTTATTAATAATGATTGTTTATTAAGAAAAAAAAAAACATATTAGTGCACTTTGCCTACCTTCTTTACCGAATTCCGATGTGAAATGCTCGCTTTCCTGGATTATTTGGTGGATGAAATGATCGTTATTCGAAGGAACTGATTCAGTTCAGTTCTAGTAAAGATCGCGGTGGGAAAGTTGCGCCTGGACTTACGAACACCTCTGTATGCAAGCGTTCAACTCGTTCGAGTGCGAAAACGATAAACATTGTTGCTCTATAATCTACTCTAAAGAAGATAACAAGTTGTGCGAGTTATCATGCAAGAAATGCTGATAGCTGCCCGCAAAAGTGCTGATAGAAGCAGAATCGCTTATGAATTGCTTTCCATATTTAGAAACCGCTGTATTTTCTGTCGCGAAGAATCTTGTAACGTTTGCCTCAAGTAGTCAAAATATCCGTTCAAATAAATTGTGTTAGCTTTACGAAACTCAAGTTTTTTAAAAGCTATTCGATCCGTACGAAAACTTAACTCGCGTAGGTCTAAACTAATTTTATTCGCACGCAAAGAAATATTCAACAGCCTATACAGTATGCCCAAGATCAGGATGAACAGCACGGGTATCTCGGTAACCGTGAGAGTTTGACAAAAGTTGCGCAATCAAAAAATCAATGAATAGATGTTGAAAAATCCCGAAAATAACCGTTATTCGAAAGAACTGATTCAGGTAGCCTTATGGTAGAAGCGTCAGTATTCTAATTCGCGTTCGCTTGCCGGTGTGGGTTCAATTCCCCGCTGCAGACATTTTTCTGATGGACCAATACAGTGTTTGGGATCATACGCTTAAAGGTAAGACCCCCGCCCTTCCCTGCACAAGTCTTTCGAAGACTTCTGTGGGTTGCTTGTAAGGGGGCAAACGACTGACGGATAGAACATCTTTATAACGAAATTTAGGTTTAGTGGAAAAAATCAAGAAGAGGGATATTGTAGACCGTGGCGAAATGTGTTAATAATGATTGTTGACAACATAAACAAATTAACGGCGCATAAAACGATGCTAACTTTGAGGTAGATGCAATTACAGCGAGAACGCTCTTTGCCCCATCAAAATCATCCCTCCTTTATCGAACTCCGAGGTGAAATGCTGAAGGACCACGCACACATTATATGGGAAAATGTCTCTCGCTGAAAATGGCTGGATTCTTGATATGTTGTAGCTGAAGTCATTCTGAGTAAAAGACTTATGTCAACAAACGTCAAGATATACATTGCTGCTCTATATTCTAATCTAAAGAGGGTATCAAATTGCGCGTAGGTCTATGCTAATTTCATTCATATGCAATTATAGTATATAGTTAGAGTTCCTAAATGTAATTTCACTGCTGTTTTGACGTTTTTTGTAAATTAGAGGACGGACACCAGACAAGCAGTGACAATCAAACATAACCACAAACGATTTTGAAGCAACTCATATGTTTTGCCAGACAAGGACAAGAATATGTTTTTCGCTTAGATAAAGGATCCTCGCATCTTCCGTCCTCCACAAGTCCTGGGAAGAGTTTTTTCTTTTTATCGCTTGGAGCGCACGAAAGGGAATCCCCATAATGTTCAAAGAACATCGTGCGTTCCTAGGGAGGAAAGGGATAGGAGGCAGGTATTGGAATTTTTTTGAACTTCTGGAGATTATATGTTGTTGGGAATACTTCCTCAGGCAATGAATTCCAGAGCCTAGCCGTTCTATGGATGAAGGAGTCTTGATAAAGTGCTGTTCGACATCTTTCGAGGTTGACAACGAAAGGATGTGCTGACTGGGCTTGTCTAGTTCGTCTGACTGGTATTGCTAGTGAAGGGATGATAGCAGAGATTTCCGAAGAACATTTCCCATGGAAGTATCGATAGAAAAGTGAAAGGTCGCCGACCTTTCTACGGTGTTCCAATGATGACAAAGAGTGAGTGAGTGTGGCGTCACCCACCAGGATGGTACAATCATATATCTTTCTCTGTCTTTGATTTTTGTATGAGAGTGCATAGCGTCTCAAGTGGGTAAAAGGGTACGATAAATTGATTAGAAAATTATTTCTTCTCGAGATATTGAATGATGAGGCTGAAGGACCTCAATGGAGGTCGTTATCAAGTTTGTAGGTACATAATATATATCAACGAAATACATATAGTATTCCTATGGAATTAGTCTCTCATATGTAGGTATATATACATATATATTCGTTCAGTTGAATATTTCTTCATCACAAAAGTTCAGAATGAGGTAAAAACTGATAAATTTCAAGAAACATACTTTTATTTATTGTGGAACAATTTTACTAGTACAAGAGTGGTAGGTGATAAGTAATTAATTAATAAACAAATGATATGGCAACAATAACAGCTGATTTCAGTTAGGATAAATAATATAGGTTCTCCAAGACATACGGAAGTAGGTATAAATAGATTTCAGCGCTCGACTCACTATAGATCGCAGTTCACATTGCTAAAGGGGATTGTTGGTTGAACCCGGCCATCGGAAGATCATTTTCAATACCTAACATAAATGGTGCAGTTGTTAAACGTCCTTGTACTGTGCTCTGATAATATCTTGCTTGTATCTTGGCACCCAAGAAGTGGTTCAAAATCCACTAGGAGGTATGTAGTCGTCTAGCACTTCTCAACTATACATGAACATGCACATTCAGACTTAGAATTTCAACGTTGAAGAAGTGATACACGAACAATGTATTCAACTATTTGATATAGATACATCAATATCTGGTACATCAGAGTTTCACAAAGTGACTATATGTATTCACAAAATTATTATAAGAGTTCGTATACGAACATGATCTAAAGAATTCTTGGTTGAGCATGAATGTGAAATCAGTTTGAGTCAGTCAATTCAGGAAGTTGCTGCTATTTCATCATCAGATTATCGACCATGATCTCCATGGTGGCTATTGTGATCTCTGCTCCATCATTCCATCACAAGCAATAACCAGAGTCTAAATTGGAATAAGGTTCTTTTCGATACTCGCTCAGTTTATAGATTGTGGGTTCGGCTCTTTCTCTCAATACGATTCTATTCTTCAACTTCCTACCAAGAAATTCAAATACCTCGCAAATTTTGTGGCCTGAACCTATATTCCATACCGGCTACATCATATTCTGTTTCCATTTTTGTAGAATCACGTTATCCGATGTAAATTCGAATAGAGTGAATTGATTTCCCGTTTTCTCACAGTGCTTGTCATAGTGTCTGTACTCTGATATACAAAAAACGTCAAAATCAGCAGTGTCAAGTACATTTAGGAACTCTATATCTAGTATGCCCAAGATAAGATTGAACAGCATGGGATCTCGATAGCTGTAGGAGTTACACAGTAGTTCAAATGGGCAAAAAGTTGCGCAATGAAGGAATCAATAAATATATGTTGAGAAATCCCAAGATTGAAAAAAAAAACAGAATTTGGCGATTTAGTTCTTATTTTTTTCTGAATTTATTTGAAAAGTTGTAAAAAAAACCTCACCTATATCCTGATCGGTGGCCTTCAACGTGATGACGGCCGTCCCTTGGCTGACCGACTCTCGGACGGTGGCGTCGTATTCCGCCATTTCGAAGGCCGGCGAATGATCGTTGGCGTCCAGCACGTTGATCTGCAGCATGGTGGTGCCGGATCGCGGCGGAAAAGTGTCATCGGTGGCGGTCACTCGGAAGTAGTGCACGTCGACCAGTTCTCTGTCCAGTTGCACTTTCGTCTTGACCACGCCTTGACAGAAACATAAATTTCATTTTCCAACTTGAAGTTTTATGAATGTGTGTATGTGCATTAATAAATTAGCTCGCACATATAATAATACAGTAGAACCTCGATTATCCATGGTCGACGGGACCAGAAGAGTCACGGATAACTGAAAATCACGGATAATCCGACGATTAGTTTTTTTTTCATATTATTATTATTTTTTTGATATAAGTTCATGTATCCCTATTATGTACAGATATGTTTCTTGGGGTAATGAAAGCGATAAATCAATATAATATGAATGTATGTACATATGTAAATATGTATCTACATATATCCACAAAATATAACAGAAAAAAATAGATCTAAGTTCAAACTCGCAGCATATTGAAAAGTTTCCATCAGAAATTCACGGTAACGCTATTTTAATGAAAGTTCAAAAAGCCCGGATATTCGATATATTCAGTAGTAATACTATAAGTACTTCAAAATATTCTGAATAATAGTGAGTAAGTATATATCTAATATATAAAATTCTCCTGTCCCGGTCACGGTGTGAGTGGTCGAACTCCGAAACGGCTCGACCGATTCATATGAAATTTTTTGTGCGTATTCGATAGGTATGAGAATCCGTCGTAATCTATTTTTTAAATAGAAAATTCAAGATGGCGGATCCAATATGACGGACGAGTTTTGTAACTATGATCCGATTCCATTAAAAATTTGTATCTGGGTGATTTTCAGGTCGGAGATAATGATTCTTTCATCAAAATTAGGAAATTAATGATGGAGGATTCAATATGGCGGACGAGTTTTGTAACTATGATCCGATTCTATTCAAAATCTGTATCTGGGGGTTTTTTTAGTCGGAGATTATGATTTTATTCTTTAAAATTGGGAAGTTCAAGATGGCGGATCCGATATGGTGAAAGAGCTTTGTGATAAATATTATATATAGATAGCCAAACTCGAGGCCAAACTGAATAGAAGTAGAAAATTGATAGTATAGTTTAAAATACGAGATAGATTGTCGAACTAAAAAGAAGTAGGAAATAAAAATAGTAGTTTGAAATTCTAATGAAACATGATTTCATGGATATCCAAACTAGAAAGAAGTTCAAAACAAAATAATAAAAGTGTGTTGATGAATATTTAACTAAAAAAATATGTTCTAGAAGAAAATGTATATAGCAAAACAACGTGTGCCAGGTATCAGCATCAGCTATTGTAATAAATAGTAGTTTGAAAAACTAATGAAACACGTTTTTATAGATAGTCAAACCAAAAAGAAGTGAGTAGTAAATAAATGAAAAAATGAAGAGATATAGAGTGCCGAACTAAAAAGAAGTAGAGAATAAGTAGAATAGTTTGAAAAACTAAAGAATCCCGTTTTCATGGATAACCGAACTAAAAAGAAGTATAAATAAAATATTGATAAATATCTATGTAAAAACATTTTTTCTAGAAATAATGTTATGGCAAAACAACGTTTTCCGGGTCAGCTAGTAAATATAAATAATTTCGCGAATTGAATGAAATGCTCAGTACACTATTATATGAATTAAATACATGATGTCTCATTTCTTAATGAGACAATTTTTCCATTGTGATAATTTAATATTGTTAAATATTTATTGACCTATGCACATTTTTTTTTTTATCCTTACTACAAGGTTCACTGTATGTTCCGATGAATATTTTGTGATCGTATTTTGAATAAACTTATATTATTATTGAATACGGATAAAAGTGACCGTATTATCACTTGTTGTTTTCATCGTGGGCAATTTTAAAGTTCTCGCTTATTGGAAACCCCGTTAGTCACTCTGAGGACGAGACCCTGAAGGATGTAACGCCCCAACTCACCTGTTTTCTGATCGATATCGAACATGGCCTGCGTCCTGGAATCCAGCAGACTCGTCATCGAATAGGCGATCGGACTATTTTCCGGATCTCTCGCCTTCACCGTGGCGACGATGACAGGCGGTTCGCACTCTTCCAGCACGCTGGCCACGTACAGGTGCTGCTCGAAGAACGGCGACTGGTTGCGCAGCTCGCGTCTCACCCGCCGCGCCACGTCTGTGTCGTTGAACTCCTGATTCGAATGGAATCAATTAGACCAGACGTATCGCTGCTCAGGGTCGGATTGTACCACCGGGATACCGGGAAATTTCCCGGCAGGCCCTCATGACAGACTCGCGGAGGTCCTCAAAATGGCCTCAATTTAAAAAGGAATTTAACAATTTTTGGGCGTTACAAATTCATTACATAACATAAATTGATAAGAAAATGTTTGAGGCCCACCCCACCATCAGTCCGGCTAGTCCGGCAGCGATTTTACTAAATATACTGTACGCTAGCACATACCACGCCCACCGTTATATCTCCTCTTCAAAGTACTTTACTTAGGCAAAACTCAGAGACTATTTATCCTCAACGAACTAACCTATCCCTGATTGCAATATTTTTGAGGAAGGAAAACCGAATGGAGTGTAGAAACACATTGATTAATAATATATTTCAAAAGTTTAGTTCTTCAACAAAATTGAATAAAATGAGACTGTTTATCCTAAACGCACTAACCTATTTGACTTCAAATATTTTATGAAAAAGGAAAACCAGAATGAAGTAAAAAATCATTGGTGAAGAAAAAAAGTTGCAAAAAAAAGTTCAAGTTCATAGCGATTCGAACCATGGACCTTCAGACTGAAAGTCGACAGCGCTAACCAGTAGACCATTTGGGTGTATGAATTTACTGCGTTCAAGAGATTGACAACGAGAGAGCTTCAGTCGAATTCGTGTCAAAATCATAAAAAGTGTATTCTTGCGTTGGAGCACAGTATATTTAGTGCGATGTGCTGACTCCGAGTATATCGGTAATGTTTGGTAATATGACGTATTATGGTGGGCGTGGTTTGTGCTAGCGTGCAGTATATTTAGTAAAATCGTGAATGTGAATACATTCTTAGATTACGTAAGTGAGAACGTTTCCTTGATAAACTGTGAAATTTCGAAATATCGAAACAGAGTTTCCAGTAACTCGCCAAAGAAAAATGCCTGGTGAGAAGTGCTCTGATGAGAATGTACAGGACCCAACTAGAAAATTTGAATAGAGATCTACACAATCATTGTGAATTAAGTAAATGAAATTGTGAAAAACCGTTACGCAGATCATGAAAATACCTACAAAGACTTTCATTTCTTTGATCCGCGTAATATGCATATTATGTTGAACGACGAAAATTATATTTTGCAGTCCAGTTCATTTTCGGTAATATCTGAATTAACTGGCCTGGATCCATCTTCAATAATGAAGGAGCTTATCAGCTTTGCTCAAAATTTTGAGAATTTGAAGAATGATTCTTCTGTCAAAGGCATTAAAGATAAAGAGGAACAATCTGATAAAGATAACGCAGATTTCAGCTTCAGCGAAACCACCGAGAGTGAAAACGAAATGGAAGAAAATAAAGTTGAAAGTTTCGTTCACAAAGATTCTTCATGTTCTGGTTGCTTGTTTGTTGTTTGATTATTTTGGAAACATATTATAATCTACACTCTGCAACATATTCAAATATATACGTTGCCTACAAGTACCTATTGACTCTGTCATGTACTCAAGTTTCTTGCGAGAGAGTTTTTAGTAAGACGAAGATAATTATTGTGAACAGACTGAGGTCTTTATTAGGGCATGAAAGACTGGAGGCGTTTCTTTTGATGAACACCGAAATCGATATGTTGAATGACCTAAATTATGACGATATTATTGATACATTGGCAAAAACATCAGAAAAGTATGGGAGACAACTTATATGAGAGACTAAGTTGTCAACATAGCGGCTCAGTTATGTTCCTCCTATAAATTAAAAATTAAACATTTCTGCTTGTCCACAATAATTTTTACCTATTATAGATATGTTCGAACGTTCCTTTTTTTTACCGAAATTTGATATAGCTAACTGATAAGTTGTTTTGTTTTATGATTTTTTTTTGTTGGTTCGATATAGTTATAATATGTCAATACATTTTCATTTTTCAACTACACCAGAATAAATGTTTCATGTTTTGTTTTTTATTGTTATTGTTTTTAGGTTAGTAGTTATGTCTTATGTATCAATAGGATTTTTTATTTGTTACTGCATCACTACATAACTTTTATTCTTCAACTCCTATAGAATAAATGTACCTTTTTTACCAAAGATTTGGTTTCTCCTTTAGCTCAATATTTCTTTTTTATCAATGATATTATGTAACTAATGTGATGTTTTTTTTTTATTATATTATTATATAAAAATTGAAAGTTGAGGCATTTTTGTGAGTCACTCTTCAAATCAACAAGATATTGAACAACACCTAGTTTAAAAGCCTAACTCCTAGGAGTAGGCCCCATTGGTAAATTTCCCAGTTGGCCCTTTCACCCACAATCCGACCCTGTCGCTGCTCTGATTCGATAGTGGGATATCACTCCGAGAAATCATTGACTAAAGTTTTGTTTCTGCACTGATAATTTCATTTCATAACCAGAAATATCAAATAAATACAAAAAGCTCAAAGTCATTTCCACACAATGTTCATAAAATGAACAACAAAGGTAGATTTCGGGAGAAAAACAACTACTTTCCTGGCTAATGCCACGCAGAACATTGAATTACATCCTCTCCAAAATCTATGCATCGACTCGTATAAACGAATACTGATACAAGTGATTCTTTCCTGAATGCCTATTGATTTCGATTTAGCCAGGCCACGCTAGACAATCACAGACCGGTTCGAGCTCTTTGACTCTCATCAGTGCAGTGTAGTCTCCAGCCAGCAGTCCTAAGACCGCCGACTCAGCGTAGCCTAGCCAAACAAAAATCAAGTCGACATTATATTCCCCCCGAGGCGTCTTTCATTGACAATATGAAAGTAACGCCATCTGAGTAGAACAGAGGAAAGAATCACTCCAAAACTGAAATTCCCATACGGGAATGGCTGGTTGCCCGAGCATTGTGGCTATTTCTTAGTTGAAATTACGCCAGTCGGGCAACCAGCCGCTCCCGTATGGGAATTTCAGTTTTGGAGTGATTCTTTCCTCTGTTCTACTCAGATGGCGTTACTTTCATATTGTCGATGAGAGACGCCTCGGGGGGATTTAATGCCGACCTGATTTTTGTTTGGCTAGGCTTCGCTGAGTCGGCGGTCTTAGGACTGCTGGTTGGAGACTACACTGCACTGATGAGAGTCAAAGAGCCCTGGCTAAATCGAAATCAATAGGCATTAGGAAATAATCACTTGGATCAGTATTCGTTTATACCAGTCGATGCATAGATTTCGGGAGGATGCAATGTTCTGCGTGGCATTAGCCAGGAAAGTAGTTGTTTTTCTCCCGAAAGCTACCATTGTTGTTCATTTTATGAACATTGTGTGGAAATGACTTTGAGCTTTTTGTATTCATTCAACATTTCATTCCACTTTGAGCATTGTGGCTATTTCGTAGATGACCAAAATTATCAATGGGAAAACTTCACAAACGATAAGATTTCCACAAAATTCTCAAACACAAGACATGTTTCGCTAACACAGTGGCTTCGTCAGGTGATATAATAATAATAATAATAATAATCTATATTTTCCTTTAAGACAAAGTTACAAAATTTGTATAGGAATCGTAAGAAACAAGAAGAGAAAAGGAGATCGGAGTTAAACAATCCTGAAAAAAAGAGGCCAAAACTACCTACTTATACACAAAAATTCTTCAAAACTATAATAACACTTATCAACAAGATGAATCTTGAGTGTTCGTTTAAACATTGAAACAGTTTTGGATTCTTTTATAAAATCTGGAAGCAAATTATAAACACGTGGAGCCATCTGGTCAGGAGATTCGAACGCTAATTTGGTTTTTCCAAATGGTACAAAAACATTGTTTTTTTGTCTTGTATCAATATTATGTTTACATTTATTCAGTACAAAGAATTTATTTCTATTCTCGAACACAGATAAGCACAAGTCAAAAATTAAAAGACTAGGGACAGTTAAAATTTTAAAATTTCTGAAAGCTGGTCTGCATGAATCTAAGAGACCTATGCCACTAATAATTCGTATGAGTTTTTTTTGTGCTATGAAGACATCAGAGCAGCTAGAGGAAAAACCCCAGTAGCACACTCCATATCTCAGTCTTGAATCCACCTGAGCATAGTACAGCTTCAGCAGCTGATCATCATTTAAAACCTGCCTTCTATTCCTGAACTGATATGAAGTAGAGTTAATTTTTTTGATCAGAAAATCACAGTGATTCTGCCAATTTAAATGTTCATCAATGTGAAGACCTAAAAATTTTAAGCTCTCACACTCTGTTGTTACGGTGTCAGAATTATCATTAGCACTAAAGCTTATGATATCACACCTCCGTTGCCAATGATGGAACCTCATTGAATCTGTTTTTTTCGCGTTCAAAAACAAATTGTTTGCAGAAAACCATTTGTTGATATTTTCAAAAACTTTGTCACATTTTTCTTTCAAAACTGAATCTAATCTGTCAGAAATCATAATTGACGTGTCGTCTGCATAATGAATGTATGAATGTTCCAGGAATTGAATATTGCAAATCATTTATATATAAAACAAACAATATGGGTCCCAATATCGACCCTTGAGGCACTCCTAATTCAGAGAAGACCATGCTGGAAGTTGCTTTGTTAATAGCGACGTATTGTTTTCTATAAGAAAGATTGCCTGTTATCCATGCTAATGGTATACCCCGTATGCCATAACGGAATAGTTTGTCTAAGAGAATCTTATGATCGACACAGTCGAATGCCCTGCTGAGATCACAAAATATCCCAACAGGGCACTCGCCTGCTTCAATATGTATATACTGGTACAATGAACTGAACTAACATTGGCTTGCTTATATATCCTACTTTCCCAACCTGAAGGATCAGTTACCTGTGGACATGTTCGATAAACCTCCATTTTCGGAAATTAGGCACAATATCTACATTCAAATACGGTGTACCGAATTAACTAAAGGGTTGATACAAATACATATTATTACTTACTAAGAAAACAAATTCAACAGTGGTGAACTCTTGAGGTCTAATTGATCGTTAAGTAAAATGTCAAAATTTTTTAGTTTTTTGATTTCTAATGATTCAAAATGATTGAGTTTCATTCCTTTTTTTTCTACATGTAGAATTTCGAAATTATCATCAATACTATCGTTTTCTTCTAATATATGGTTGGAGTATGTTGAATTTGTTTTCTTTTTCGAAAAATTCATCTTATGTTCATGAAAGCGCTGATTGAACGAACGACCTGTCTGACCGATATATACCTTAGGACAAGATCCACAGTTGAGTTTGTATACCCCTGATTTTTCGAATTTAGAAGTTTTGTCTTTATTATTCTTGATAATCCTTCCCAACGTGTTATTTGTTCTGTATGCTACTTTTAAGTCCTGTTTATGTAGAAATGAAGCTAATTTTTCAGTTGATGATCCAAAATAGGTTAAAGTTCTATAATTTTGATTATTATTCTTGATGATAGGATAAACTTCTTGAATAGCTTTATTATGAAGTTTTTTAGGAAGAATACTGTCTATCAAATTAACGTTGTATCCGTTGTTGACTGCAATCTGTTACCGATACATTATATTCTTTCTAAAAAACTTCATGATAAAGCTATCCAAGAAGTTTATCCTACCATCATGAATAATACTTTTTTTCTGCAACCGACACAAAAGTCGTCCATTTTGATACCAAAATTAGCTCTTAAATTGACGTTTCTATTACTGACACAAAAATAGGTATGTTGCTAGGCAACATATTTAGTTCCTAGGAGCTAGAGTTGAATTTTAGTTCCTAGGAGCTAGAGTTGAACTTTAGCTCCTAGGATCTAAAAAGGATGTATACTGGACGTCATCAAGAATGAACAACATTGTGACGGTTGGTTATTTGGGCTGAGACGCATACCTGATTTGTTTCCGATTCCAGCAGATTAGGCATTTCATACCCATGCTGGAGATATAAATACACCTTAATATAGTTTAGTATTGGAATTATAAACATCTCAGTTAAGTATTTTTGTTTTGATCAGAGAAGCCTTCAAGATTCAAATACTTGCTTGATCTGTATTTCATTCGTTATTCTCGGGATGGATAACTTGTTTTTGAATAATCACGGCAAGCAATAGTTTTTTTGTCTCAAACAACGATATTGTTTAGCTTCATTTGATTATCAAGTCAAACACAGTGTAGTATGAAGAGGAATAAATAATTACTATCATCATTGTTGGTCCATACACATATATGTCACTCTGTGGTTGTATTTATATTGAAACATCCTTGAAAACCTAACCTGCTGTTAATTCAGGTAGAATATTCTCACCACACGGATTATTTGTCAATATTTGTTGCATTGCATACATATGGCACGGCATTGGTGGTTACTTCACATGTTTATTTGAGTTAATTGTTTCGGTTGCAGAAAAAATAGCATGTTTCATTCGGATCAAAAGTGACTTTGTTCGACTCGCAAATTTTGCTTTCGCTCTGCTTCGCTTAAGTGTCACTTTTGATCCTAATAAAACAATCTACTATTTTTTTTTCAATGAGTTCATTAATGTTAAATACCTGATGGTGGTACACGATCTTCAGCCGGTGCTCCGAATTCAACACAGACACGTTCCGGCAGCTGGCCGTGAACAAAACCGTCACCTTCCACAGGGGCTCCACAATGCAAACATCTCTACTAGCCACCAAATCCCCTTGGCTGTGCTCAATCTCGAAGCGATCGTCGCTGACATAACGGAACTGCACCGCGCAGTACCTGCTGATGGTCTCAGGCAGGAACGCCCTGATCGAGCTGACGAACTGGCTCTGTCTCAGGCAGATCTTCTGCCACTTGCCTGAGGTGGGTATGGCGAAGGAGGCGTACGTCTCTGAGACCCATTGGCGCGCTTCGGTGATCCGGCGCTTGGTAGAGGGGTGGACTAGGGAGAAGGGGTTCCACGATTCGCGTTTCCTCCTTAAAGCAGTTAATTTCATAGTCATTTTACCAACTAGTTCGTTGATGAGGGCTGTGATATAATACAAATTGTCATGTCTCGTGTATAATGGAGTTACAATGTGATAAATATCAGTTTTATTCAGCTCAACTTCTATTACATAAAAGGCCCAGAGCCATCATTCAGAAATCCTCTATTCCCTAGCAACCATATATAAAGTATGCTCTAGGACAAACTAGATAATAATTAATAATTATATATATATACAATTGAAAGTATTTTCTTATAACTTCTCCTCGGCCTCTGGGAGTCCTCATTGGGTAACTGAGAGGCATCTCTTGATCTCTGTAATTCATCGCCCATGTGAGTGGAGCACTCAGGATCATCTAATGATCGGGGAATTTTAAAGGCGTTAATTTTCGAGATCAATATTTGCCTCATGGAAATACAAGTTGGTTACAGAATTTTTCCGTCGACCATATTGCTCCTGCAATGAAGACAATTTGGTTCGCGAATTCATTATTCATCCGGAAACACCCATCAATCTCCTAGTAGCCATGAAAGTCGACTTACTACTGACATTAGTGACATCCGAAATTATCAACATGGAAAATAAATTCCTTTTGAAAGGGAACATGTATTGAAATTGGTTCAGGAACGTTAAACAGCTGACCAGTTAAAATAAGATCTTCGTTATTTTCGATTTAAATACAGATTCCGTAATTATAATGCCAACAGTGAAAGAACGTGGTGTATGTTTGGTTGTCTATACCAAAATTGATCGTTAATAAACAAATTGACGAGCAAATTGATCGGTAATAGGAGTCATTATCGATCAATATCAAGTACATTAATCAAACTTTGTTGATACAAAGTCCACGGAAAGTTATAATAATAAAATTGGCGATCTAAACAAATTGCCCAGATGCCAAACAGTCGCTATGGCAAGTTTTGGCGTTAGAGGCCGCTGAAGTGTCAATCTCGATTGCTTTGTTTCTGATAAATAATAACCTGCGAGTTATCATGACATCGTGTTTTGATAGAATATGTAACAACGAGAAAAAGTATTCATCAATAATGTTGCTGTTGATCAAGAATTATACAGTGTGTTTCAGGTATAATGGGTGGGAAAAAATATGAATTTATTCGCTGACATAGCGGAGCTACACCGATCAGTATCTGCTGATGGTCTCAGGCAGATACTGATCTCAAGCAGTTAATTTTATAGTCATTTCATCAACTAGTTTGCTGATGAGGGCGATTAATGTGCGAGGTATTTTAAAGGCGTTAATGTTCGATATCAATAATTGCCTTATTGATATACGAGTTGGTTACAGAATTTTTCCGTCGACTATATTGCTCCTGCAATGAAGACAATTTGGTTCGCGAATTCATTATTCATCCGGAAACACCCATCAATCACCTAGTAGCCATGAAAGTCGACTTACTACTGACATTAGTGACATCCGAAATTATCAACATGGAAAATAAATTCCTTTTGAAAGGGAACATGTATTAAAATTGGTTCAGGAACGTTAAACAGCTGACCAGTTAAAATAAGATCTTCGTTATTTTCGATTTAAATACAGATTCCGTAATTATAATGCCAACAGTGAAAGAACGTGGTGTATGTTTGGTTGTCGATACCAAAATTGATCGTTAATAAACAAATTGACGAGCAAATTGATCGGTAATAAGTCATTATCGATACAAAGTCCACGGAAAGTTATAATAATGAAATTGCCCAGATGCCAAACATTCGCTATGGCAAGTTTTGGCGTTAGAGGCCGCTGAAGTGTCAATCTTGATTTCTTTGTTTCTGATAAATAATAACCTTTGAGTTATCATGATATCGTGTTTTGATAGAATATGTCACAACGAGAATGAGTATTCATCAATATTGTTGCTGTTGATCAAGAATTATACAGTGTTTCAGGTATTATGGGTGGGAAAAATATGAATTTATTCGATCTCTAAGCGATCGTCGCTGACATAACGGAACTGCACCGAGCAGTACCTGCTGATGGTCTCAGGCAGGAACGCCCTGATCGAGCTGACGAACTGGCTCTGTCTCAGGCAGATCTTCTGCCACTTGCCTGAGGTGGGTATGGCGAAGGAGGCGTACGTCTCTGAGACCCATTGGCGCGCTTCGGTGATCCGGCGCTTGGTAGAGGGGTGGACCAGAGAGAACGGGTTCCACGATTCGCGTTTCCTCCTTAAAGCAGTCAATTTTATAGTCATTTTACCAACTAGTTCGTTGATGAGGGCTGTGATATAATACAAATTGTCATGTCTCGTGTATAATGAAGTTACAATGTGATAAATATCAGTTTTATTCAGCTCAACTTCTATTACATAAAAGGCCCAGAGCCATCATTCAGAAATCCTCTATTTCCTAGAAACCATGCATATATAAAGTATGCTCTAGGACAATCTAGATAAAAATTAATAATTATATATATATACAATTGAAAGTCTTTGAAAGGGGTTGGTTTCTTATAACTTCTCCTAGGCCTCTGGTAGTCCTCATTGGGTAACTGAGAGTCATCTCTTGATCTCTGCAATTCATCGTCCATGTGTGTGGAGCACTCAGGATCATCTAATGATCGGGGAATTTTAAAGGCGTTAATTTTCGAGATCAATATTTGCTTCATTGATATACAAGTTGGTTACAGAATTTTTCCGTCGACTGTATTGCTCCTGCAATGAAGACAATTTGGTTCGCGAATTCATTATTCATCCGGAAACACCCATCAATCACCTAGTAGCCATGAAAGTCAACTTACTACTGACATTAGTGATATTTGACATTTCCCGAAATTATCAATATGGAAAATAAATTCCTTTTGAAAGGAAACAGTGATTGAAATCGGTTCAGGAACTTTATACAGCTGACCCGTTAAAAAAAGATCTCCAATATTTTCGATTTAAATGCATATTCCGTAACGTTTGATGACAACAGTGAAAGAACGCGGTGTATGTTTGGTTGTGTATACCAAAATCGATCGTTAATAGACAAATTGACGAGCAAATTGATCGGTAATAGGAGTCATTATCGATCAATATCTAGTATGTACATTTTTTTTATCGCTAATACAAAGTCGACGGAAAGTTATAATCATAAAATTGACATTCAAAACGAATTAACCAGATGCCAAACAGCCGATATGGCAAGTTCTGGCGTTAGAGGTCGCTGAAGTGTCAATCTTGATTTCTTTGTTTCTGATAAATAATAACCTTTGAGTTATCATGATATCGTGTTTTGATAGAATACGTAACAACGAGAAAAAGTATTCATCAATAATGTTGCTGTTGATCAAGAATTATACAGTGTGTTTCAGGTATTATGAGTGGGAAAAAAAATGAATTTATTCGCTGACATAGCGGATCTGCACCGAGCAATATCTGTTGACTGTCTCAGTCAGGAACGCCCTGATCGAGCTGACGAACTGGCTCTGCCTCAGGCAGATCATCTGCCACTTGCCTGAGGTGGGTATGGCAAAGGAGGCCTACGTCTCTGAGACCCATTAACGCACTCCGGTGATCTGGCGCTTGGTAGAGGGGTGGACCAGAGAGAAATGGTTCCACGAGTCGCGTTTCCTCCTTGAGACAGTTAATTGTCATTTAACCAACTAGTGTGTTAATGAGTGCGATTGATGATCGAGATGTCCGCCTTATCAATATAGGAGTTGGTTACAACATTTTTCTGTTGACAATTATATTAGAGAGAGATCTTTATTGAACCAATAAAAAATGTTTACATTCTTATGTAGGTCCTTCCTTTGAACAATACATTATTATTATAATAAATAAGACATATTTCTCTTACAATGAAGAAAGTATCAACATGGAAAATGAATTGCTCGAAAACATGCTTTCTTTAGAAAACGAAGAATTGAAATCGGTTCACAAACATTAAAAAGCATTAAAAACCCGTTAACATAAAATCTTCGAGAAAATTCATATTTTAAATGCAGATTACATAAATTATAATGCCAACAGTTAGAGGGCGCGGTGTATGTTTGGTTGTTGATACCACAATCGACCATTAATAGACAAAATGATCATTAACAGGAATCATTACGGATCAATTTATAGTACATCAATCAAACTTGTTAATACGAAGTCGACTGAAAATTGCATTTTTACTAGGAAAAGTATGGGGGAGTTTTGATTTCTTTCATTCCATACCCACGTATTTCAGGGTACTGAAAACGAATCTAAGGTTTGCTAACAGAATTTCGTAACGCAACATTTGAAAAAAAAAACAAAAAAGGGAAAAATATAATTTTCTGGCGTTTTCTTGCTTATAACTCGAAAACCAATTTTACGAATATCTTTTTTGTTCAAAATAGAAGTTGATAAAATTTCCAACAAATTTCATCATTCAGTTGTTTACTCGATGAACCGTTCGGGCTCAAGCGCTAGTTGATAATTGGCGTATTTCGGTTTTCTCCGTGAAACACACTTTTTCCACTCCGAAACCTCAGATTAATATTAACAGCTGTCAATTAATGAATTCCTCGTAGTTCTCGACTATTATTGAATTCCAACAAGAATCCTTGAACAAATATCCCATTATATTATCTGATATATAAAATTCTCCTGTCCCTGTTACAGTGTTAGGGGCCAAACTCCTCCGAAATGGCTAGACCGATTCGTATGAACACTTTTGTGCGTATTCGGTAGGTATGAGAATGTTTTGTCAGTGGCAAGATGAGGATTGTATAAAGTTTGAGACACCTATCCTGTTCCAAAATCTTTTGAGGGTACCGGGAGACAATGAATACAATGAAAAGAAGTCATGGAAACCATCAATTCTTCTCAAAATGGCGCAACATTTTTTAAAGGAAAAAAAAGACTACAAAACTCGGTCCGTTATTGTTGAGTCGTAAAATCTCTCATCTCATTTATTTATTGTAATTTCAATACCTTTTTTCTATGTCATTGTCAAACTTGTAATTTTTGTTATTTCTTGCTCTCAGTGTCTCCTGTTTTTGGCTTCTGTCTTTGAATTTTTTAAGTTTTGTTCCTTCAATTCCCCTGAAGTTTAACCAAGTTTTTACTTGTAATTATGATTGTTCTGTCCATTTTTATTGTAAATCTGATGCTTTTCACACATGGCTTTAATGAAGGTAATTTTTTTCCTAACAGTATCATTTTGTATTCTTTTCATATCACCTCACAAATTACATGATGGCTGTAGAATCAAAACTAATTAAGAAATCTGTTTTTTGTAGTCGACCGACTTTAGTTTTTATTTTTCTTTGTAGAATCGAAAGAATTTGAATAAAATATGGTTTTGAAAATACTCATTTTTTGTACTGTGATTAGCATAATAGTTGAAACCATTATACATTGTATTCAACTTGAAACTAGAAGAAATTCACCGTTGTTAGCAAACCTCAGATTAGGATTCAATGGCCCAAAAACCCATGTTGAACGAAAGAAACCAAAAACTACCCCACAACTGACCCTTTAAGGGTGATTTTGAACGTAAGGTACATCTTCTGTGGTATCACCAAGAGACACAAAGTTTTCGAAACATTCCCAAGCCTTATTGTCAGATTGGTCACAGTGAATCTAGTGACGAATTATGGACGCATGCGCATTCGCTCGCAGAAAAACTCAAGAATTATTAACGCTGGGTCTCGAAAATAAGGAAAAACATCTTCGAAAGCCTAAATCTACGCCATGCTATCAGTGGACCGAAGTCATAAAACTCCCTGACCAAACACAGCCTCCACAATTTTATTGCAAAAAATAATCATCAAAATCACGTGATATAAATCCTTGGAAGGATATAGACACATCTGTATTACCTGTCTCTCGCGTCTTCTTCTAGATACTCCAAGTCCTCTTCTGCCGATTCGGCGCAATCCTTGCCCACGATAAAAATCCTCAGAGGCAAACTGTAGTAATCAATGTCCTTGAGCCTGGTCGAAGTGGAATCGATGTGCACGGTGAACAAATTGGGGTAGTAGAGTCCGTTGCATTGTAGGCCTTCGATGAGGGAGACCTTTCCTGATCTCGAGTCCACGTGGATCAGGGATTCGACGAATGGCGCTGATCGTTTTTCGTCGATCTTGTAGAATCTGTCTGATCCTAGTCGGTAGACGGACGCGTTGAAGATGACGTCACCGGGTTGTTGGGAATCGTCGACCAATAGCAGATAACCATTCGCGAGGTGAACGTAAGAGTGAAATAATAAGAGTATGTAAAGCAAGTAATTACTCTCACTCATGAGAGAATATCTTTTTGTCATTTTTCGATGAGTTGAACATGTTAGACTGGGTTCATGATGAGTCTGTCGGCTTTATAGGTGGCTTCATTATATCTGAAAAGAAAGAAACATAGTGAACTTCAAGTTTGATCTCAACAGATCATTTTTGTATCATTCGTTCAATAGAAACTAATGAGAGTGCTTCGTTTATTTGCTATTTTATTAGGATTCTTGACGAAAAGTCGATCGATAATGTCACAGTGTCGCCATCTTGTTTCAATTGAAAATGTGTCCAGCGCCGCATTTATGAAAAGTAATGTCCACTTGTAATACGTCATTAAAAAATAAATGTTACGCTCTATGGAATGTCGTGGGAATCTACAGGGTTCCATTCCAAATTCTCTAGTGGTATTACAAGCGAGAATTTCTCAGTCATGATAGTTCTCTCCATACTGCGTTCTCATCCAGAATGACCATTTTTTCCTACTACACCTCTTCCAGTTGTATTTCAGAAGGTGTCAACAATTCAATTTCAGAAAGCGTCAATTGTATTTCAGAATAGTCACTTGTATTTCAGAAAGCATCAGTAATTGTATTTCAGAATAGTCCAATGAATTTCAGAAAGCGTCAATTGTATTTCAGAATTGTCACTTGTATTTCAGAAAGCATCAGTTATTGTATTTCAGAATAGTCCAATGAATTTCAGAAAGCGTCAATTGTATTTCAGAATAGTCACTTGTTTTTCAGAATAGTCACTTGTAATTCAGAAAGCGCCAATTGTGTTTCAGAATAGCCGATAGAATTTCAGAAAGTGTCATTTGAATTTCGATTAATATTTTCTGAGATACAAATGACATTTTCTGAAATTGAATTGACTATTCTGTAATACAATGGACGCTTTCTGAAATTTAATTGACTATTCTGAAATACAATGTATGTTTTCTGTAATACAAGTGAATATTCTGAAATATGTACAATGGACGCTTTCTGAAATACACTTCTACAAGAAATTAAAGGACCACCAAAAAGTAGCCGAAAGTTTAGGAAACATTTTCGTCTGAAAGTACTTGTACGATTTGGACGTTTTTTTGTTTTGAATGACAGGTTGTTTCTCTCTGAACATTGGTGTGCTAACTTTATTCGCATAACCTCTTTTTTATGAATACCGGTTGTAGCAATTGTAGCTTTTTTTTTTCATGAAGTTTTTAATACCCTGTGGAGTGTAACAGTTACGTTATCGAGTTGAAATTGAAAGTACACGTTAGCCTTATCTTTTAAACAATCTTTTTTGGATTCACTCCATTATATTTCCTATTTTTCCCGATACACAATTTTATAACATTACGTGGTTTTATTGAATAGCATTGGCATTATAAGCACGAAAGTAGCAGGCTATGGTCTGGGAAGGCATTTCTGACTGGTCCCATGGAACATTTGATCATAAATGGAAGCCTTACAGCTGAAAGGTACCTGCATATTGGTAATTTTATAACCATATACAGTGTGTCTATTTAGTGCATATTTCTTCGATGTCCCTAAATCCATTATCACAAGAGAAGAACTTTTGAAAACAAATTTCTTCCGTTATTAAAGGTTTCCATTTCGTAAATATTTTCAACAATACTGGATGTTTTATAAAAGCGGGACGACTCGGAGACGAGTTTTTTTAAATAGAACACCCAGTATTTTTTATTCGAAATTTATTCCGCTAAGGTTTAGCTCTACATCGCTGTGAATTGAATTTGATTGCGGCGTTGCCAAGTTACAATTGATAAACCCATTTCTACTACTATTGAAGGGTCATGTTGAATTGGGTATGGTATATTCATTTATTAAAATTTTTAAAATATTTTTGGCACACAGTAGTAGCAAGGTTTCACGTACACCGATCCAGTACTATTGCGAGACAATTCTTTACAGGGTGCTCAAATTTACATTCTGAATATTGTAAGATTCAGACGACGTTCATTAGAATTTTTCAAATGGAACACCCTTTATTTTTTATCACAGTTTTCAAGTTATGAGTAATTTCCACATGACATTCGAAATTCTACATAGATCATCAGGTGTTTTTGCGATATGTGCATTGTCCAAATTTGAAATATTCCGAAATCTTCTTACTTATGATTCAAATATTATGTACCTATGTGAAACAAACAGACATGCCAAAAGCAACGTCTGCCTTTAAAACAACTTCTACAATACAAATAATAGAGATTTGGATTGCGAGAATAAGGACAATTTTTCAAAATTTGGGCCACTTTTATTGTCGTTATTCCCACAATCCAAATCTCCATTCAACTTGAAGGAGGTGAACATAATGATACAAACAATATTTCTTTACTACGCGGGTTTCGGAAGGGAATTCAGCAAAATTTTGAATAAATTCAAGATATATCTGATTGTGGCGATGTTTGACAGGTCATTACACAAATATAAGTGTATTTCGAAAAATGAATTCATAGTCTGCAAAAAATCGGTGAAACTTGCATTTTGGATAAATTTGTCAAAACTCACTGTTTTAAATTCAAACTTGGAGAGCCTGTAAATGTTCCTATTGTGAAAAAATATATGAATGGTCAATGAAGAAATTTGATTATACCGTAGCAACGCAACGCAAATAAATGAAAGAACTATGACGTACAAATTAGCCCGAAATAGTAGTAAAAATAAGGAAATTGTCCATGACTTGACAACGCCGCAACCGATTTCGATTTTTTTTTTCAGCGATAAAAAGACGAAAGATGTCGGAATGAATTTGTGAATAAAAATACAGGGTGTTCCATTTGAAACCTTCTAATGAATGTCATCAGAATCTTGCAAAATTCTAAATGCAAAATTGAACACCCTGTTGAAGAACATGTCGCAAAATCACTGGATTGATATACGTGAGAACTTGCTACTACCGTATGCCAAAAATATTTTCAAAATTTGAATAAATGAATATACCATGCCCAATTCAACATGACTCTTCGATAGTGGTAACAATAGATTTATCAATTATAACCTGGCAACGCCGCAACCGATTTCATTTTGTTTACAGGGATGTGAAGGTAAACCTCGGCGGAATAAATTCAGAATAAACAATACTGGGTGTTCCATATGATAAACTCGTCTCCGAGTTGTCCCGCTTTTATAAAACACCCAGTAATGTTGACAATATATTTGAAATAAGCAAATTTAGTAACTGAAAAAGTTTTTCCTTCAAAGTTTTTCTCTATAGGTTATGGCTTTCGAGATATCGAAGAATTACGCACTAAATGGACACACTGTATAGTGTAACGATCTCGGTAACGATTTTTGTTGATACAAGATAATTCCAGGCCTTACATCGCCCAAGTTGTGAGAAATTATCTAGAGGACGTATATACAGGGCTTTCATTTCAAAACTCACCACCCTGCATATCTTTTGATCTGCGAAGATTACAGTTTTCGGAAAAAACAGGTCGATTTAGATATCGAGGGGGAGGTAAAATTAAATGTCAATATCAATTGAATTCTATGTTCATCTCCTTCACCCCCAGACACCCCTACTTTGAAATCTCAAATGGCACCCCCTACTTTGAGATAAAAAAAATAATGGTCTATCAATGATCAAATCAACCAGGTGAAAAAATATTTATTTCGTATACAGGGTGAGTCGAGGGGTGAGTCATGAGGTACTGTACATACTCCTATCACGAAGATAGGCGCCTGAGGGGAATATCGAAAGGCCATCTGGAGTTTTCCTCCTCTTTTACAATAATAAACAGGGTGATTCATAGAATTGAGCGGAAAAATGTTAATGTCACAACTTTTCAACAGCCTCTTTGATTCATTTCATTTTTTCATGGAACATTAGGCACTCCAACTCCAAAAGACTAATATACACAATTGAAAAAAATCCAGGACCGTACTTGTGAAATGTTGCCAGCTATCAAAGAGTTCACTCTGTATACTTGATAACAATCACAAAATGAAAATTATCATTCGATATGTTCTTCTTACATCAAATGTATTCATTATATGTATTGATTATACCACTTCAAACATAATGCGCTGGAAGAGGTCTACCTCTAGGGTCGCGAGAAAACGAATTAGTTGTATTATACAGTGTGTCCAGTAAACCATCGATCATACTCTAGATGGTGATAAACAAGTTAATATCCTATCAGAAAACCACAACTTGACCTCAGTAAAAAACTTACGGTTTTCGAGATATTGGAACTTATATAAAAAAAAAATTAATTCCTCTCTTCATGTTTGAGGTATTCATACTTAGTATATTAATGGAAAAAAAATCTGTCCTCAACGGTGGAAATCTAGAATTAGAGGGTGATGAAAAAAACAGTGGTTTTTCGATATTTTTTGGGGTTGGTTTTTTCAATCAATAAATCACTCGCTATACCATGAAATGCATCATACTGCGTCTTCAAAAATTATAATCAATACCCTAAATCAACCCAATGATACGAGGTGGGCCAATAAACTTTATTCTCTAAACATCAGCATTCATGAATCACCATGTATAATCAATACATCTAATGAATCCATTTGATGTAAAAAGAATATATCGAATGATAATTTTGATTTTGTAATTGTTATCAATACTGCGTCTTCAAAAATTATAATCAATACCCTAAATCAACCCAATGATACGAGGTGGGCCAATAAACTTTATTCTCTAAACATCAGCATTCATGAATCACCATGTATAATCAATGCATATAATGAATCCACTTGATGTAAAAAGAATATATAGAATGATAATTTTGATTTTGTAATTGTTATCAAGTTGTGCGTATCGATATTTAGAATTCGAAAATAACACAATAATTCAGATGTGAATCACCCTGTGATTGGTTGATTCTATACATGTTTGTTCTACTCAAAGGTTGAACTAAAAAACTGCTAGCAATAAAATCAAATTCATTCGTCCTTTCTTGAAGATATGGGCAGATGAAAAGGGGGCATTTCTCAATTTCAACACCCTGTATCTCAAAAACTGGTCATAGGATCGGATTGGGACTCGGCCTGTTTGATCATTAGGTCGAGTACTACAATATACCAGAAATTCAGAAAATTCGACAGAACGCAATTTTTATATAGAAAAATTGCGGGGTTCTTTAATAAAA